ACGAGTGATTGGCACTCTAGAAAAAAGAAAAAAAAATGGTTATTACAGCTAGTTCAAGCTTTTTCACCCTACTGCCTAAAATCTTTACTTTTGAAGCTTTTGCTTTAAAAGTAAGCTTCAAAAGTAAGCTTCAAAAGTAAGCTTCAAAAGTAAAGCTTTGGAACTAAAGAATCTTAGACAACCTCAAGAGTGCATCGACAAAGCCGAATAGTGCTAAAAAAATGAGAAGATTTGCTGAAAACTCCATTTCGAATGGATTGATTTTCATGATTCTGCTTTTATATGACTCACTGCTTGACTCAATTTTCATTTCTCAACTTCAGAAATTATTCACATCCGCTTATCGCTCGTTTTTTTGAGTTCAAGAGTTTTCCTGCTTTGTCCCGTTTCGATACTCGACTTCCCGATTTTCAGGTTCAATCCGATTATAGTGCTGGTAACCCCGATAACCGTAACTTTTTTTTAATAGAATGATATGTTTCAATACTTTTTTACATCGTTTTTTTAGGGAACACAAGTTCAAACTAACTGAATAACTTCAAAAATTATTCACAGCCGATTAACTTGTCACCCGTTCTCTGTTTATTTGATTCTTTCTTTTTGTTTCATTGAATTTTAAAACAAAAAAATGTAAACGTATTCAAATGATCAAAATTTTATTTCTATCAAAGTCTCTAAAGCAATTTTTGAGCGATTTGAATTGGAAATTTCTTCAATTCAAATTGTAAAATTCATCACTGAGCTTGAGTGCTATTTACTTAAAACAACCGTTAAAGTAAAATTTGAAAATCTCTATACTGTTTACGGTTTCTTGGATAGATATGAGCTACTAATATGAGCTACTAGTGCTGAACTAATGTTATTCAATCAGGCGACGGGTTTGACAGGCGTCCTTTTCTGACAACTTCTCAAGCCGAGGCAAAATTTTAACACTGATGTTTATCTACGTCATATGCAAAAAGTGGAACAAAAAGTCGGAAGGTTGCTCTATAGAAACAAATGGAACGACCCCGTTTTTCGTTCTTCAGGATGGTGCAAGCTCCCACAAATTCGAAAGATTGATCGATTTTGTTATGAACAACCTACACTGGAACCTGCTTCCTCATGCACTATATTCTCTAGACATTGTTTGTTCTGACTTCTGACTTGTTCTTGTCGCTAAAAGATTTCTGACGTGGCGAAAAGTTCAAAGATGAAAGCGATTCGTCACTGAGCTTAAGTAGTGTTTACTTAAAACAACCGTTGAAGTAAAATTTTAAAACTTCTATACTGTTTACGGTTTTTTGGATAGAGTTCTTGAGCAAAAAAGTTGTGAGGGAATCGAGCCATCAATCCAATAAACTTAGAAGGCGGCAAAAGGCAATTTCAGTTATCCTTTTGATGAAGGAGTCGAAAATGTGACGTTTCATTACACAGCAACGACTGGTTTATCGGTAAGAAATGCTCTTTCTCGCCGCAACTTTCATATTTTTGATCAAATTGTGCAGCGACTAAGTGATAAATTGTCACTTTACATACAAATTTAAGCCAAGACTTCAGTTTGCCTGGAAGGGTGACGGTGAACATATCGGTGAGGGATTTTCGTGTTCACGCTTCACTGCATGTTGATGTGACAACCGAAGCACCGACAACAGGAACGACAACAGTCCAGGTGATCCAAATGGTTCTATAAAACTCGTTTAACTGAAGTGTTTAGCCGAAAGCCAAAAGATTTTGCTGAGTTTTGACCTTGTGCAAGTTAAATCTGGGTTTACCGGTTAGATCATAAATCTTTAGGAAGTTTTTTTCGACAACAATGACTGAGGAATTCACAGAGAGCTCCACCATAACTTGGGATTCAACCACGACTGACAATGATTTGGAAAAAACAACAAAAACTGGAATCATCAATCCCCCATTTCGCTTTATCTTTGTTTTTATCTACCTGTTGATCTGAAAACTTGCTCAAGTTTGCTCAAAGTTTGAAAAAGTTTCAAATTTTCGTGGTTTCAGATGATTTTCAGGTTCTCTATTCAATAAATTCAAGTAAACCGTTTATGTGGATTTTAAAAATCACAAGGAAAACATTTGAAAAACAAAACGATATCCTCATATTTTGTAAAGAAAAAGAGACAAAGAATTTCGTAAGAATCATTGAATTTTTTTTGGAAAAACAACTTGTCAACACAAATTTTGAGTTTTTAATTGCATGAGAAATGATATTAGGAAAATTTAGAATCACTTTCCGTCAATCACTTTATTTCTTTCCTTGGAGAATTTACTATTCTAAATTTGAATTGACTAGTTATTCATTAGAGTAATCCGTTTTCTAAAAGGCTTTGTTTTAGGAAATATCATAGTCAAACTCTCACTACGAGTTTTATTGAAGTGCTTGCGAAAGCGTTCAAATTTTCGTGGTTTCAGATGATTTTCATGTTCTCTATTCAATAAATTCAAGTAAACCGTTTGTGTGGATTTTAAAAATCACAAGGAAAACATTTGAAAAACAAAACGATATCCTCATATTTTGTAAAGAAAAAGAGACAAAGAATTTCGTAAGAATCATTGAATTTTTTTTGGAAAAACAACTTCTCAACACATTCACTTTTATCCGAAAATCCAACTTTCTTTTCGACATAATTTTTGTAGAAATTCCAAATTTTATCTGTTGATCTGTCCTTTGCTGGAGCAAAATTTGATTCAAACAAAATTCGCCTCAATTCTTGAAATTCTGCCTCGTCCGCATCATTCCACTGAAGAAAAACAGCCGCTTCAACATTTCTGCTTGGAATTCCTTTTCTCAACACAGTAAACAATGATTCTTTGAAGGATTCCCAACTCCTTGAACGATCTGATACAAATTCCAAGTTTGTCTTTGTTAAGTACTTGTAAAATTTTGACATTGGAGTGAAAAGGAAGAGATCTTTACAGTTTGCAAGTGAATCTTTTAACCATTCTCCGAAAATCTTCAGCTCTTCAGCATCAAATCCTTCTTCCGAGATACCAAAATGAAAGCTTTGTTCAACTTTTGAATGAAACTTTTCACAAATGAGATTCGCTGTAGAGAAATGGTCAACCATAAAGGTGAAACTTGAGAGATTTTTCGCTTTTGGAAGGAATTGGAAAAGATTTTGGTCATTTGAAATGAGATTTGGAATGCGAAGATGGATTTCGATCAATTTCGGTTTCAATCGGCAAAATTGATGACTGTGTTTTGAAGTGATTCGAATTTTTGAGGAATCGTTTTTCAAAAAAGTTCCATGTTTCTCTTTTATAGAGAAGCACCAAGTTTGAATTGTTAAATCTTGAATTGTTAAGGAAAGATTATCTCCAGTAACACGAATTCCTTCAATATTTTCAGGAAATGGTCCATTTTTCAAAATATAGCGTCGAAATGCTTTGTTGACTTGAAGAAATTTTACAGAATCTTCCGTGAAAGTGGCTTTTAATATCGATTCTTTTAAAGTTAAAGGTAGTAAATTGAATGGGAACATTCGAATAAAATGCAGAATTTTGTTTACGAGTAGGCCAAAACTGGCTAAAAAAGGAGGCAAAAGAAAGAAAAATCGATGAGTGCCCGGGAAAGAAGCCCCTTTGTTTTTCGAGAGACTCTAAAAACCACAGAAAAATGAGAGATTTAAAAGTTCATCAAATCATAGCAAATACGACTTTAAAAAACGAAGCTGAATAAAGTTTTCAAAATACACTGTACATTGCTGTGCATAATTACGGCAAAATTCACGTTGAATTTCTCTCATTAAAATTGATTGATGGGTTTTTTTTTTGTGAAGAAATCAAAAGTGACACTTGAACTCAAAGAAAAGAGGAATAGACATTGAATTTTGAGCTTAAAATTTCTGAGTTTAATTAAATTTTCCTTTTTGAGATGCCCAGGTGAATTTTCCTTGTTTATTTACTTACTTCTTTCGATTTGACCACTACAACTGAGAAAGCGAAGAGCCATCCGACTTTGATTTTCTTATTTTTATGAGAGATCTCATTTTTTTTTCAATTATTCATTGTTGCATTTGCTCAATATGGGTCTTTTCTCACTATCTAGGCTCAAATGTCATTTTTCAAATGCCTTCAAACGTTCAAACCCTTCAAAGTTTCTGAAAATGATTCATCCCTTTCTTTGAATTTTTTTTTATAAGATTAAGAACATTAGAAAAAGCTGTATTTTGAAATTTCAAAATAAAACGTAAAAACTCATGAATGCCGACAAGAATTTCGTTTTTCTCATTCCAGGTAAAAAGAGCGAGAAGTTTCAGAAATGAATTCTTTTCAAATTTTTACACAAACAAAAGTCTGGTACTTTTTTTCCAACCAAAATAGAATAAACGATGGAAAGAAAAGGACGAGAAAGCTTGTTGTGTTTTGAAATTGAAATAGACCATCAAATCTCAAAAATGGGAGTATCATCGGCTACGACAACTACACTTCTGCCTCAGTAAATGTGGAAGCGGGGTTGTGATCTGCGCTAAGTGCGAAGACAGATCAAATCATTATTATAATCTCAAAAATAACTCAACAAGTCTTAAACTTTTAACCTTTTTTCATCAAGTTTTAAGTTTTTAATCAAGATCAAAATTCAAAAAGAATAAAATATACTTTGAAAGAAATCCCATCAATCAAATTGATGGCCTAATTAGGCTAAATGGGCCTAACCCTATAAACGGTTAGGCCTAACCCATTCTGTGGCCATTCTGACGCATCAACTTGCTTGAAACCCATACAAATCGTTTCAAAGCCTAAAAATTGATTGATCACCATATGCCGTATGTGTTAAAGTTTAGGTACAATCACTATTCCTGTGCATCATACCGATTTTCTGATTTTCTTTCTTGTTTGATTTGAGAAATGTAAGCGAAAAGCGCGCACGAAAAAAGAAAAAAAAGAAAAAAAAGAAACGATAATGTCTGCATGATAAGGAAAAAAGAGCTTTCAAAAAAATAAATCTTGGACTTTTAAATGCTTTGCAGCTGCATCAATATTGCACGAAATCTATAGGACAAGCTAGAATGAATCGATTTTTCATAGTTTATTCGATTTTCTACTTGGAAACGCGTAAGTTTACCACATTTGGCTTTATTTGCAAATCAAATTATTCTCTCAAGCTTGCTTTGAGAGAATGGCTGGCTCAAGCTCTGGCTGGGCTTTTTGAGTCAACCAAACTTCGACCTCTAAATCCCCATTTTCACTTATGAGTTCTGGTTTTTATTTCAGAAACACAAAACTTTTAGTGTACGGTCTTCAAACAGTCAATTTGACAGAACAAGACACGACATGGATTGCAAGTGGATATCAAACAAGACAAATATCGGTATTCTACAGCTTTTCTGATTTCGAAGCTTCATTTGGTTGAATTAAGATTTCAAACGGAGTCAGAGAATGGCTTTAAAACATTTTTGACTTTCAAATTTTTTTTAAGAATATCCTATCGTAAATACTGTAATAGTACCCCACCCCCATAATGACAGTGCGGAGCGTTGCGTCGTCTAGCTTTGGACGCGTTTTTCTCGACACTGGTTTATGCTACAATGCGCGTTTAGGCATCAAAAAATAGCCCTGAATTTCAGCTATTTTTTGATACCAAAGACACAATTTTTGAAAGTACGGGCGCTTTGAAAAAATGAAAAACTAAAAAATTTTTGCGACTACGCGACTGTACGATGGGGGGTGGGGTACTATTACAGTATTTACGGTAAGCAAAATGTTCGATTCTGTATGTTCAATTCTTTTTTAGTTAAGCCAATCAAACACAAAAATCCTTTTCAGCCAATCATCATCACACCTTGTTCAAATTGCACACAATATATCCAAGTAATGATGAGATTCGAAGATGGAACCCAGACGAAAACCGACTTTACGATCACTGACTCAGAAGGAAGTCAGATTCAGTAAGCACCCATTTGCTGATTATCGCTCATTTTCTCCAGATCCACAACATTCAACTCAACATCGCTTCAACTTCTCCATGGCCCTCTCACAATCATTGATCGTTCAGCCGTCGGATCATACAGTCTCAGTTTTCGGCTGCACAACGTTACGGACTGTAAGAAGATTTTTTCTTTCAACTAAAATATGCCAATTTTTGTGAAACTATCGTTTTGATTCTGGTTTTGCTTAATAATTTGAGTCTAATAATAAATAATTTATATAAATCAAAACAAATAAAAATAGTCCAATGATAATCTCTAATTCTCAAAATTCAGCAATTGCTCTATACGCGAGTCGCCTTTTCACAATTGTACCAAACACCCCCGTCCCATATACATATCAAACCAAGGTTTGTTTTTGATATGTTTCGAAATTTACGGTGATTGTTCCATAAAAACTTAGAGATTTTGAATTTCATATATTTTCAACACATAGAAACAACGAAGAATCAGAATCAAATGATCAAAAAAGATCGTCACTTTCGCGCGTCTGTAACTCCCTTGTCTTTACCGTATTTCTAAATATTAATACTACCATTGTGTAGCCCTTGAAAAGAGCTTTGAGAAAATGTATAACACTAATAGTTTAAACTCAAAGACAAGGGAGTTACAGACGCGCGAAAGTGACGATCTTTTTTCAAATATCATATTTCGTTGTCCAGTACTGTATATTTTCCAGATGAATTTATAACTTTTCTCCAACTTTTGGGTAGCTTGCCAATCGTAAAACCCAAGCGGGCGCCAGCAAAAATAGTCATTCAATCTGTCCTCGAGTTCGCTTTCATCTTTGAACTTTTCGCCATGTAAGAAATCCTTTAGCGACAAGAACAAGTCAGAAGTCAGAACAAACAATGTCTAGAGAATATAGTGCATGAGGAAGGAGTTTCCAGTGTAGGTTGTTCATAACAAAATCGATCAATCTTTCTAATTTGTGAGAGCTTGCACCATCCTGAAGAACGAAAACGGGGCCGTTCCATTTGTTTCTATAGAGCAACTTCCCGACTTTTTGTTCCACTTTTTGCATATGACGTAGATAAACATCAGTGTTAAAATTTTGCCTCGGCTTGAGAAGTTCTCAGAAAAGGACGCCTGTCAAACCCGTAGTTCAGCATTAGTAGCTCATATTGATAGTAGAAAATTACCCAATTTGATTCCAGGGATCCGGCAACTATGGCACTTTTGCCACCTTCTCGGCAATGCCTGCACTCTATGGTCGATCATCTCTTGTCATTAAACCCACAAATAAAGTTTATTGTATGTATCTATCATTAATGTGAATGTTTCAGACAACAACCGGTTGTGAGTACTCTTTATTTCAAGCAGGATATCCAGCAACGAATAGAGGCTTGAATGCGTATCGAATTCACACGTTCACGTTCGTTTTTACGATTTTTACTTATATTTCTTTACTTGAAATCACTTTACTTACTATTTACAAAATGATAAAAAAGATGATTCCAGTCCTGAAAACAGTGGAGATCGTTTCGCATTATCGATCATTCCAGCGTTTGCGGCTACCATTTATGTGCCTCCCAGGTGTCCAGTGTCCATCGATGTGGCTGATTACACTTCACGTGAGTGTAAATGAATTCGGTTTTGACCAAAATCATAGTTCAAACCATTTTCATGCATCAAAAACATGGCTCGACCAGATCAGGCGAAAAAAAAGCTAAAAATTGGGGCACAGTTCCTTGCTTTTTAAAGCATTTGAAGAATGGGTTCGATTTTAACCAAAATTCCAAGCTTTAACCATTTTGATGCATCAAAAACATGACTCTGCCTGGAGAAGACTAAAGTTTTAACTCTAAACTTGCCATTTCTTCAATTTCAGTCTATGATGGTATGGGAGTTTTTGGGATGTCCTCGGTGCCGCAATATGGTTTTGTGATGAGTCGAGATTTTCCCGGTGGAATGACCGGGACAGGTTTTGGCGGAATGAATGTCGATCTCAAATATTATCTTGATTCAAAAAGTTTACAACAGTTTTAAAGTAATCTCACCAAAAAACTTTCAGCAATCACCAACCGCAGCATTGATTTCAACGTTCACGTTGATCACTTCTTAACTGACCCAGATTCCAGTGTCCAATTCAAATTTTTGTACGACGAAAAAGTTGGATACATGTAATACATATATCTAAAATCTTATAATGAAAAAATTTCAGCTTCAATCGCTCAACAAACAGCTTTTCTCAAGCCCAGACTGCTAACTCATTCCGGGTAAATCAAGAAATTCAGAAATCAGAAAACAATGGAATCAACAAATTTTTAGATTCAATTTTCTTCTCCAAAAACGCTAGCAACACTTTTCTTGCTTCATTTCAACACCGGAGACACTCCGTCAATGAATTCCCACTCAAGCATTTGTTTATTTCTTGTCTTTATCTTACCAATACTGCGTTATGTCATTAAAGCTTAATTTTATAATAAATTTATATATAATTTAGCCATGCAAAGTTTAACACATGCATGACGTTTCTTCGCGTGATTGAACTCATAACTCGATAAGTGTTATCTCCATTTGTCAGCTTATTTTCTTGAATTTCTGACCATTTATGGAAAAAGACCAAAGAAACGCAGATAAAACTAGCTTCTCGTATTGAAAAAAATGAAAATCCGGGAAATCTATGCTCTCATTTCTTTATTGAATTCATATTCATTCATTCACGGAATTTTCTCTTGAACACTAAGTCAATCTCATCAAGTCATGATCATTCAAACGGTTCTATATTTCTTCATTTTCTTCATCGCAACGATTCAAGCCGCCTGCAATGTGGCGGCAAAAGAATTCCCGAACGAAGAAAAATGCCTCTCACCTCTTCTCATGGGTAGATCATTTTGGTAACAATTATAAACGAAAATCGGTGTGTAAAACTCTTACTCATTCTCAAAAGCCATATAGTCAAAGTTCTAAGTTTTGAAACAAAAAAAAGTGGGTTTTCTGTTGCAGCCAATTCCTACGCGGAAGCCTATCGATTTTGTGATACTCGCGGCGCGGAAGTAGTGAAAATCGAGAACATTTATGATAATGCCTTCATCATGGCGAATCTCGCTCAATACAGTGAGTTTTTTTGTGATATTTGCTCAGCTGGGAAGTGCAGAATGAAGAAGGAAATCCCGTAAATTTGACCAGATTTATTGAATGATTGATTTGAATTGAAGGCCGACTGGTTAAGAGCCCTGTATCTTAGTCGGGAGGGAAAGGGTTTAAACCAGCTGGCTTATTGATTATTGATTCTTTTTTCCATATACCGTATTCTCTCTAATAGTAGTGCACTCTTTAATAGTAGTGCACTCTCTAATAGTGTTGCGGTCCAGGAGAGGGTTGAAAAAATAGTAGTGCACCCTCGAAAATTTGAATTTCTGGTGCTTCTTTTTCATCTAAACCTTTTTGACGTTATGTTTTTGTGACATTCTAAAGCTATTCAAAGCAACCAAAAGTGAGGCTTTTTTATTCATTTATTAACTATTCTTCACATGAAAAAGTCAGCAAAAAAATCTAAAATTGTTGTGCAAAGTGCAAAAACATCTTTTTGTTGTTTGTCAAACACAAATTGTCAACCGCCGGCCCACAACTGATGTCAAAAGGGGCCAAAGGGTACGTGAAAGAATTGCAAGAATTTTTGGAACAAATCTTATATCTGTCTTACTTTGGTAAATGATAAAACTCTTTAATAGTAGTGCACTCTCTAATAGTGTTGCGGTCCAGGAGAGGGTTGAAAAAATAGTAGTGCGCACTACTATTAGAGAGAATACGGTATATGGGTCCTCTTCTTTTCCCTAAATTTAGGGCTTAGGGGTTATGCGTGTGTATTGTTTGTACCACATTTTTCTTGTGAATAAATGTATTTTTTAGACGCAAGTGCTCAAAGGCCATACATTGGTGTGCAGAGGTCATCGAATGGGAATTGGATCTACGCCGATGGAGGTGCACTAACGTATGCGAATTGGGCACCCGGTAAGTGGTTGAGAGTATGATTTTTTAAATCAAAATAACATTAAGCTTTCCAGCTGTTCATTTTCTGTAGTAAAGTCTTTTTAAAGAAGTGTGCTGTTTCTGCTGAATTTTTTCAATGATCAAGTAATATTAGGCCAACCAGACATGTCGGATCCGAAAAAACAATGCGCTGTGCTGAATGGGGGTGATGGAAAGTGGTCAATGGATGACTGTACAGCCACCCGTCCCTATTTCTGCTCATACCACGAGTCGATCAATGGAAGCTTTTGCCCAACCGGATGGACCTATTCAAATATCAACCAACTTTGTTATTATGTAAAGGTTTGTGCAAAGAACCAAACTCAGGTTTCAAATGACTTGTATCTTTCAGAGTTTTGTCTCAGCTGACAGTCAAGACTGGCAACTTTTCAATCGTTCTGAAGCCGAGGCGGCTTGTCATCTGATGAACGGTCATCTCGCATCGATTCATTCAGAAGCAGAGAACGATTTTGTTTACAGTACTTTTTCCATAGCTTTATGATCTGTAAAAGAGCTTAGATTTATTGAAATCAAATGTTCAACCAGATGATTGCAATCTGCAATGGGCTTGGATTGGGCTGAACGGGACGGGAATTGTTGGGAATGGTGAATGGATCGATGAGAGTCCCGTTGATTACACTGGAGGCCGCGCTGTATGCACGACGCCAGCTCTATGGGTGGTGAGAAATTTTTCCTCTATTACTTCCTCTATTACTATTGTTTTAAATAGGAAATAGGTGAATTTGCCGTAATTTCAGATGTCCAATGATGAGGGATGTATGGGGAAATTCTGGAGGGTTGCCAGCGATAACACTCGAGTGGCTCGATTTGTTTGCAGGAAAGCATAATGATCAAGGGAAAAAGTCGAAAAATTAAGTAATTTTGTAACTTTTAACGTTAAATATTGTGATGGAGCAATAAAATGCTGAAAATAAAATAATTCAATAGCAAAAGTTGGCACAAAACGTTTACATTTGCTTTGATTTGAATGATTCTATTGGTTTTTTCAGAAAATCTTGCCCGCTTTTTTGAAATTTTCATTTATAAATGAATAATTAGCCGATCAACGTATGATTTAGTTTAAATCAAAAAGATTAATTATTTCATTTAGCTCATTTTTAGGCAAATTTAAGTCCACATTGAAGCAAATCTGAAGAGGAATTCTTGTTTTTCCTAAAATCCTTACAATGAACATAGAATAAAAAAGGCTTAGTGAAATATTATGAAAATTTGTCGATTTGCCTTGCTTTTTATTCTCTATCTTTTATCTTGTGACATCAAAATAAGTTTCTGTGATAAAAAGTGCTCAAAAAACTTTGAGTTTCATCGTTTTTGACTTCTCGACTTCACACTTTTAAAAAATTAAATAACGCGAGCTTTTCAGAATTTCTTAAAGGACAATTTGTAAATAAATAATAGTACTTTCTAATAAAATAAACCATAGATTGATTGGTTGATTATTCATTTCAAAAAGTAACCTTTAAAAAAGAGGACAACATGATATTCAGTGACTTTACGGAGTTTTGAACGACTGACTAATGGTTTATTGTAAGTTGAACTGGATTAGAGATCCAGAAGCCAGGTTCAGGCTTTCTAATAAAATAAATCATAGATCGCTTGGTTCATTATTCATTTCAAAAAGTAACCTTTAAAAAAGCGGACGGAAAAAGATAAAATTGAGTCTGCTTTGAAGCAAATCCAAACGGGAATTCTTGTTTTTCCTAAAATCCTTACAATGGACATAAAATGAAAAAGGCTTAGTGAAATATTATGAAAATTTTTCTATTTGCCTAGCTTTTTATTCTCGATCTTTTATCTTTTGACATCAAAATAAGTTTCTGTGACAAGTGTTCAAATCTAAACTTTGAGTTTCATCGTTTTTGACTTCTCGACTTCACACCTTTCAAAAATTAAATAACGCAAGCTTTTCTGAATTTCTTAAAGGCCAATTTGTAAATAAATAATAGGAGTTTCTGATAAAACAAATTATAAATTGATTGGTTCATTATTCATTTCAAAAAGTAACCTTTAAAAAAGAGGACAAGACTTTCGGCCAACTTGATAGTAGGAGGCGCTAGAAAACTATATGTTATGTAACTTTGCTACCAAACTTTTCTTTGCATTGCCCTGAAACTTTTACAATCTAATGCAACGCTTACATTTCCTTGATCGGCAGATACTATACAGATTGCAAAAAGTCCAGTCCAAACCCATTCCCTTTAAACGGGGTTGACGGCCAACATAAACGCTACATAAAACTCTAATTTGAGATAAGAGGAGGAAGAAGTGAAAAGAGGGAAATTTTGTCGTAAATGCCTTATCCACGAAATGGTGTCATTTTCTAGAGTTTCTGATTGGGTTTTCTCGGCTAAGCACTGACCAATGAACTTCTTCATTCTGATGCAAATTGCTGGCATCAGCTTTGGCGTTTAAAAAGGCTTGCTTCCTTTTGCTCCTTCCTTTTGTGCTTCCTTCCTTTGACAAGTGCTTACTTTTGAATTTGTTTAGCTTGAAAATTATTCAACTCTTGACAATAGGGATTTTCAGGGTAAAAATGAAGAACCTAATAGCGCTTTCGATAATTTCCCTGGCTTCAGCCGCACTCAATTGTCCGAGTAACAGTCAGGTGAGAACACTGAGCAATCAATCATTTTAGAATGGAATAGCTTGTAACCAGTTTCACCATAAGCAAATTATTGCAGGAATTCAATGGATATTGCTATCAAGCCATGGTTTCTCTGCCAGGCAACTACACAATGGCTGATACTTATTGTGCGGGAAGGGGATTGGCAAACAGTCATTTAGCCTCGATCATGAACCAATTCGAGAATCTCTATCTTGCTGGGCTTTTGCCAGGTTTGAGAGCATATTTTAAACAAACTACAGCTCTTAACAAGCTCTCTAGCTCAGTCTTATTACCGTACTTATTCCAATTGAAGAGCCCTCTCCAATAAAAAAGCCCCATTAGACAAAATTTATTTTTTCGGATAGCAAAATGCTCATCTTTTTAAAAACTTCTAAAGGTTTTAAAGAATATTTATAAACCAAAAAAGCTTAATGACGTCGAAAAGCGGATGAAAATCCAACAAAAACACCCATTTTTGAGCTCTTGAAAATTTGGGAACTGTAGCTAAGGCAAGAAAAAGAATTTTAGAGGGAAAATAGAACGTTGGCTCTTTGATTTGAATGTTTAGAGCAATTCAAAGCTGAGAACTTAACCAAACTCTAGCTGGAACCAAGGCTTTCATTGGTGGAATGAGACAAACGAATGGTGTTTTCACATGGTCCGATGGATTGCCGTTCTCTTTCGATAATGTTGACAGTAAGCTAAGATTTTGAGACAGTTTTAATCAACTCTTAGAATCCACAAATGGTGGACCTTGTCTTGTAATTGATCAAGCAACAAAGAAATGGCAACAAGTGAATTGCTCGGAGTCTCACGCATTCATTTGCAAGATCACTGAGACTCCACCATTTATCGTTTCGAATTCAACCGGTTTCAAGGTAAATATAAAAACAACTTTGGATGCATCGAAATCTTCAATTTACAGCAAGCAGCTGACTACTTATTGAGAGGAATCGATCCAACAGCGAATCCATGTAAAAACTCATAATAAAATCATTATCAACTTTTTTTAGGTGAGGATTTCTTCCAGTTCACCTGTGGAACTTACATCAACAACACATCGTTGAATGGGAAATCGAGGTGATTTGAAGAAAATGAGCAATGAAAGCTAACAATTCAACATTTCTTCCAGGGTTGGAACATTCGACGAAGCACAAACTCAAGTCAATAAAGATACAGCTGTTGCACTTGATGCGATCTCCGCGAGCTCTTCGCTTACTGAGAGAATTGCGCAAGCTGTGAGTTTTAGCTTAAACTAATATAATAATTGCTTTTACAGTGTGCAAGAAAAGTTCTTCGCTTAGAAAAAATTGATTGAAAAGTGGCAAAAAAAACCGATTTTTCATCATTTTTCAATCATTTTGTTCTAGGCGTAGGTTAAAGCTGAAAATATGTGTTATATCTTAAGAAATCACCCGTTCTCTCTACTTTAATTTGATACCTAAGTGCGCAGAAATAAGCGTACTGGTGTCAAGATATGAGCATTTGTTTTAGAGCAAACTTAGACCACGCGACGTTCCTATAGGGCTTCTATTAGAGTATTTACGGTATGGAATTTCCAGGCCTATGCCGCTTGCGTGTACAACTACAACCAAGATGTGAACGACAAATCAAAAACAATCTATCAAGAGATAACGAATGCGTAAGTGCTTGCTTACGAATTGGTGCTAAATAGTTTTAGATTCGGAATCCCTGAAATCCCATTCTTCTTGGATCCAAGCTCTCTATCAATGTTCTCAATCCCGACAAGTCAACTCTTCTCAGCTGTTGGATATTTCGAAGGCACTCACGCTTTGGGCACACTTCTCTTCTCGTGGACAACCGTCGATTATCAAAATATCAAACAAAATGCATTGTTTATGAATCAGGTAGATAATTAAGCTAAAAGATACAGTAGCTAAGTTTTAGCCGGATCTTCCTCTTCCTCGTGATTACTATGTGAAGCCACAATTTCTATCAATCATTCAAGCCCACGTTCAAGAGTATGCTGATGTAAGTTTCTAAATTTTGATGACATAAAATCGTTCACAATTTAGCTAATCACGATGGTTGCTGGAAATTTGGGAAAGACCGTTGACTCGAATGCGATTTATCAAGTAAGTTTTGATTCAAAACCTGATTTGATTTGATTTGATTAGTTCTGATTTGAATAAGTTTATTTGCATTTTCTTTTAGATGGCTGCCGATGTCGTGAACTTTGAGATCTCCATCGCTACCGCTTCATGGTCCGATGAGGAACAGAGAAACTACAAACAAATGTACAATCCATACACGATCAGCGGACTTCAAGCAAACTATCCGAACATTCAATGGACTGCCTATTTTGAGTAAATGAGAAATCGATGCTTTGAAAAGTTTTCTTTAGCAATTTATTGAAGAATGTGGGTTTAACGAACACGGTTTTCCAATCGCGAGAAGCTATTGTGAACGAGCCGACTTATTTCGCTTGGTTGAACTCGTTGTTTTCGGAACAGAAGATCCCAGCTGCCACAATTGTCAACTACATTGCTGTTCAAGCTATTTATGTAAGTTTGATAAGACTAATGAATAGAATAAAGAATTAAAAAGTAACTTTAGGACTCAGCCGATTTCCTTGGCTCCGGTTTATCTAAATTGGCTGAGAAAAACAACAGATTACCGTACTTGATGAAACACGGAATCGGATTGTCGAGAACGCGACGGGACAGAAGAAACTTTGATTCGATTAATGATTTCTGTGTGGATATTGTGACCACATTTATGCCATATGGAACAGGTTGGGAAATAGAAGAAATTTGAGACAAAGTAATCAGAAAACTGTAGGATATGTGTACGTGAAACAACTTGGAGACCTCCGAAATGCGATTCAAGCTGATGTCGCCACTCAAACGGATCACATCATTAGCTCATTTACGGTAGAAACTGCGATTTTTCAAAGAGTTAATTCATTGTAAATAAATTTCAGGATATGATCGGAACTCTTAGCTGGATGACTCCAAGCAGTAAAACGAATGCAAACACAAAAGGTAACGAAAAAAACGAAAACTTTGGCACAAAATAAAGCAAGAGCAGAAGCTTTTACAAAGCTGAAAATCGATAAAAATGTTGGAAAAAGAATTCTACACCTTAAACAACTTTATTTTCTCATTATTTTTCAATCTGGGAACTTAAAAAAAGCCATTTCTAACACAGTAAACCGATTCTTTTAGCCGCTGGTCTTATCAAAAATATTGGTTGGCCAGATATGTTCAAGGATTTCAAAGATACCACCGATTTGGATAATTATAACAAGGTTTTGTCTAAAAGAATGAAATACAATGGAATGATTTAGGCTGATTACGGAAAAATTCTCGACTTGGATAAAACAAAGTTCTTCGAAATCTATTTGATTCTCAAATCTGGAATGGAAAGCAGAGAAAGCTTGAGATTTATCCAGGCACCCGCTGATCGGTGAAGCTTTTAACAATTAGAAACCAATAGAAACCAATTTAACATTTCAATAATATGGTTAAGTCACGAATTTTCAGCAAAATGTTCCTCCAATCACCAGCCTTGGTCAATGCTTGGTATCAACCGGAGAGAAATTCGATCACTTTCCCATTCGCTATTTTCAATCTCCCGTTCTACAAGTGAGTACATTCTTTATTTCTATCGATTCAAAATCTTACTAAGCCATCAACAATTTTAGACTTGATTGGCCACAAGCAGTTAATTACGGAGGTTTGGGTGGAGTGGAGGGACACGAGTTGACCCATGGATATGATGATGAAGGTAACGGTTCATGATAATTGGTTTTTGAAATCCAAGAGAAAAACTGCTAGCTTTGACTCAAAACATCGATTCTTGTTAGAAAACAAAAAGCTTAGGAGTTCAATTCGGTCCTGACGGTTCCCTATCTGGGTGTGACTCGTTCCGCTGTGGTTGGATGGATATGAATTCGACCGCCGGATTCACTGATATGGCTCAAGTGAGATATTTCTTGAATTAGCTGCTTACTAGACTTGTAAAGTTGTTGGGTAAAAACCTAAACCCCGCTCATTCTGGGCGGGACTTAACTTTTGCTTCATAACTTTGCGTGAATATTACCGTTTTGGGTTCATTTTGGTATCATTCGATGCGCAATTTTATTCTGCATCGAATGATCGTCAAAATAGTCAAAAGCGAAGGGTTGGTGCTGAGAAAGGCACGAAAAATCTTCAATTTCCAACGGTAAATAAGGACCGACAGATCCTTTCGTTTTCGGCGGGTTTTTCTAGCTGGTTTTTCACTGTTTTGGGGGCGATGCATAGTGGCCTTTGCGCAACCGGGAGCGCACTGGTCTAAGGCACACACGATCCGGGTTTGACCCCCCGTCGTGCCACTTGATTTTTGGTCTTAATTTTTTGATTTTAAATGGCGAACTATAATATATTTTTAGACTTTTTAAAAAATGTCATTTTTTTGCCTCAAAGACGGCGGAGAAAAACCCCGTACAGATGGAAAGATAGACAGACAGTCACTTAGATATAGTAGATGATCTATTTAGTGTGTTGTTACCCAATACACTACTCAATGTTGCCCGGTGAAAACGGGAAATGTGCATTGTGCGAACGGGGCCATCACACAAGGAGAGAACATCGCGGATTTGGGAGGTAAAATCCCCTAAAAATGGAGATTCTATCTATTCCTAGGTCAACAAGCCGCTTATCGGGCCTATCGAAAGTATGTGGCCACTCAATTGAAAGGAGTGGAAGAACAGAGATTGCCAGGATTGGAAGAGTACACACCAAATCAAATCTTCTGGATTGCAAAGGGTTTCGTCTGGTGCACCGTGCAATCGATTGATTCGCTTGTGAGACAGGTAGAGTGAATCAATGGAAAGAATATCTTTAATACGCTTTTTGAATGGTTTATAGAAGTTTCAATTTAACCGCTACAATTTCTGCCTTACCTTGTTTAATTCCAGATGCTCACGAATCCCCACTCGCCTCCAGTTTGTCGAACAAACAACGTTGTTCAAGACATTCCCGAGTTTGGACAAGATTTTAGCTGTCCGCGTGGTTCCACGATGTATCCAAAAGATCAGGATCGATGCAAGGTCTGGGTGGGACCGTAAACGAAAACATCTTTTTTGAATAAATCGTTTCTTAATCTTTACAAAAACAAAAAGCCAAAGGACAACATTTCAAAAAGCATAACTGTTTAAAAATCTAACATATAGCAATAACTAACCTCATGGCCGTTTTTATAAAAATTTGAACTTTTACTGCCTTTTTTATATGAGTAAGCAAGAAAATTGCCATATTTGGCGTTCATAAGTGCTAATTTATAGAATGAATTTGTTGAAATCTTTAAAAGAAAGTCACGAACGCCAAACTCAAATAGTTTTAGAGCTCAATTTTTCAGATTTGTTTTTTTAATATTATACGACAATGGCCCTCATCTTCTCAATTAAACCAACCACGCCACAGCGAAACCCTAGGCAAAACGGCGTGACCTTAGATTAACGGCTACCCGCTAACGAATCATTCGCTAGCGGCTAGCCGCTTTCGGGGATTTCTTAAAGGATCCTTTCAAGTATGCGAAATTTGGGGGACCTACAATTACCACAGGGATTGGCCGATGATCCTTTAAAATATCTTGGTATACTGCTAGTTCCCTCTCTAAAATTGGATCCTCACATAAACTACATTTCCAAAAAAGCTTCTAGAATTTCTAACATAATTCTTCGCGCCATTTGTTTCCCTAAAATCGCAGGGCTTTTATAACCTATTGTTGGCCTTTGGTCGAGTATGCCACCATCGTATGGTCACCTTCCATTAAGAAACTTATCACCTTGGTTGAAAATGTCCAACGGCGTTTCACTAAAAAAGCATACACTCGTTGTTTCCCTTCTTCTCTTATGCCAAATTATGCGACTAGACTTATAGTTTTTGATTTAAAACCCCTTTTATACCGCCGTATTTACTTTGATCTTATTTTTTGCTATAAAATTCTTTTCCACCCTAAGTCGCATCCAGAATTTCAAAGCCTCTAAAATTGTGGAAATTCCTAGAAGTACACGTAGTCATCCTTATCAAATTTCGGTCGGTTCTCATCCCCATCATCTTTCCCTTTATCATTCTTTTGCGAACCGTATTAGTAGGGTTTGGAATAAGCTCCCGTCTGGTATCTTCTCGTCTGTAGGAAAATTCAAAGTATCTATAAACGAATTAGATCTGATTGCCATGTCAAATCTGCCCTATATTTAATCTTTTTCGTACCTGTGTTTCCTAACTGTAGTCTTACTGTACTATTTTTAGTTTTCTCTTTTTTTTGTGAAAGTATTTTAGCAATATGTTATATGCGGTTATGATTATCTGATTCGCTTCTATTCGCCCCCTGAATAAAGCATATATATATATATATATAACGAAACTAGTCGAAAAAACCGGATTCGCCATATTTTCCCAAAAAACTCTTAAGAATGCACAATTCAAAAAAAATTTTTAACAAAAAAACTTAAATTCTTTTCCGCGCCTAGATTAAATGTTTTTTATACATCTAATACCATATTTTTACTATTTCAGCTGAAAAAAATGCATTTTTGGAACATTCCCGGATACTCCACTTTAGCCTGCATTTTTTACCAGGTGTGCAAAAAAGGTCGCATTTTCCCCGCCGCCCATTTTTCATTTTAGAAGAATTTGCTTCGAATTTAGTGCTCATCTTGTTGAAAATGCTCAGTGTGAGTGCGAATTATCGAATTTTGGAAAAAAATAAGATATTTGATCGATCTTGAGCTAGAATTTAACAAGGAGTTCTCTAGCGATTATTTAAAATTTTGTCTAGAAGCTTTTACTTCTAATTGTTTTTTTTGTTTTTGCGAAATCTAATTGTTTTTTATTTACAGGCAGAACGACGCCAAGTAAAATGCCGTTTGAAATGCGAAAGCTGACGTCATTCCCAATGAAGAAACTATGCTACGACCTAAAGCTGGAGATGTTCGAGCAAATGGAGCCGAATGATGCGATTGAGTTGGTCAAGGTGAGTGCAGGATTTCGATCGATTCTGCTGCGGAAACCCTGGATAGTTTTTGGGTGTCACGTGCACAAGTTCTATGCAGGAGGTCATGAAATCATAATCGAGAAATTCTCCAGCTTATCCTGGGTCGAAACTTAATGCCGATCTTGACTTTTCATTGATCGAACGAATTCACTCGTGTGACGAATTCGTAATATACGACGAACAATTCATCGACGGGCACTCGACGATTCTGAATCAATTGAAGTCTGTGAAACGTATGCAGCTCTATGTGAATGGAAACGAGTGTTTGTTGAAATTTCTTGAGAATTTCCGTTCGATGATTGAATTTAGTGGGCACATTTACTTTAAAGAAGGATTTAGAGGTAACTTTGACGATTTGTTGAAAGAAAATCAAGTGATCAAGGAGCTTTTTGAGAATTTCATGACAAATCAGGTGAATGACTGTGAAGAAGTCGGCCTTCATTATACTAAACGCCCCTTGTCTTCATTTCGCTCCACATTTGACTCCGGGTTTCACTTATACTACAATGCTTTTGCCAAGACTTCGATCAAAGGCTTGATAATCTGGCCGCTGCAAGAGGATCATCTTGAAGGGATCGCGCAATCAATCGTTAAAAAGGGAATCCCAAGCAAGAATTTGAAGGCCACTTTTCGTGTAGTGTTGAATTGTTCCACTGTTGAATCCCTGGAGATAAATTCCCGAATCGTCGATTTTCTTTCGCAATTCCCTGGAATGAAGCGATTTGACGGAGAAAATCAGCCGGAAGTCATCGAAATGGCGACCGGACGCTTGAAAGCGTATCTCGGAGAGGGGGGTGAGCTTGACACTCTATTTTTTCGACGAAACATTGACTCGAATAGGGATTGTGTCTACATGCTTATATCTGTACCCCACCATCTGGGGAAGGTATGTGGACGGAATTTTTCGTCTTCTACGTTCAACCCCAATCGGAAATGATGCAATTTTGAGGGATTTTATCGGGTTTTGTATAATTTTGATGCTTTAATTTTGTGATTTTTTCGAGTTTTAGTTGTCTGTGAAATAAAGTTTTACAATTTTCTTTTTTGAGCGATGATTTGTTTTGTTAGAGCAATGACACATATGTTTGTTGTGTTAAAGACTTTAGTGTTTATGGTCATTGTTTGTTTGAACAAATATCATCGACCAGAGTTCTGGTAGAGCTGAAATTTCTGATCAAGGCAATCGGCCAAGCGGACACTCAATGCTTGACGAATAAATCCGAGGAGACAATCAACGATGTCAATTTGTTCAACTATTGGAATGGTCGATTTGATGAGGTCAAATTGGCCATGGAACGATTGGGATGTTTTGAAGCGTTGGTTTTATTGAAATTTTTTGAAGTTTTGAAGTTGTTACACAAGTTAACCTGACGCTCATCAACTTTAAAAGATGGGCAATCTCCATCAGATGATCCACATCTTCACTTCGATATGTTCATAATGACCACTCTTATTGGCTTCAGTTGGGAACTTTTCGAACAAATGAGGTAATCGAAAAAAGGGGGTAGGCTAATTTCCGCCATTTTAATTGGGCCAATCTTTCTGACTTTGATGTCATTTTGTTGCACTTATTGAGATCTACAAAATGACACCAAACGTTGCGCCACTTAGAGGTTATGGCGGTTGCGCAAATAAAATGGGGCATGTCTCGAAAAGGGGGCAGCATTAAATATTCAATTTACAGGACAAAGCGTGGAGCGAAAATCGAGAACAAGAGGGGACAAACTTGGTGGGTTTTTATTTTTCTGCTTATTTTTCACTGCATTTTCAAGAAAGTCAGTTTCTTTTTGAAAACACAAATTACTATCACCATTCAGGAATCCAACTGGTCAATCAACGTCCACAAAAGGCTACCTTTATATCAGAAGCGAGCAGTTGACGACCGGTATGTAAAAGTTTTTGAAGAGAAACTGATTGAACGTTTTCAGAATCGAAATTTGCCACTTGTGGAATGGGAATCACAAACTTTTTGGAAGATTTTCTCGGAAAAGAACCAACCATTGAAGCAACTGAACAAGAAGCTCTCCGATGAATTGGGATCAGATTGTGATCCGTGGAAACAGATAAACGATGAGGCACAATTGATCATCTAACTACTCCACAAAACTCTCTGTTCGTCATTTTATTACTGATATATAGTTGATTATATAATTAAAAGCCGTTAGCTGGAATCAGAGTCTAAAAATGTTAAAATTTCTTTATTTCTAGTTTCTCCCAATCAAGTATCATGCTTGAAGATCGACCTCTATTTGGATCATTTGTTTGACGAAACTCTCCTCAAACTTTTCTATCAACGAATCGATGAACTGACCAGTGACATCTCTCATTTCATTCTATGGACTGATCGTTTCGAAAGCGTCCACCAAGCTATACATCGAAGTAAAACGGAAGGTATATTATGCGTACCGTGTCTGATTTAAAACGTGTTTTAGGAGCAGAAAAGTTCAATGTTTCAGCATTGGAAGAAGGCCTTGTGTGTGGAAGGTGGATGTAAGGGACATCTTCTCTTCTGTCAGAAAGTCACCAAAGGAGTCCCACAGGGAAATGTGAGTTTCAGAATGGACTTTATCTAGCTAGACAGTGAAATGATTATTCAAATCATTATTTTCAGTTCAATGATTTCAAAGATACCACCGATTTGGATAATTATAACAAGGTTTTGCTAAAAGAATGAAATACAATGAAATGATTTAGGCTGATTACGGAAAAATTCTCGACTTGGATAAAACAAAGTTCTTCGAAATCTATTTGATTCTCAAATCTGGAATGGAAAGCAGAGAAAGCTTGAGATTTATCCAGGCACCCGCTGATCGGTGAAGCTTTTAACAATTAGAAACCAATAGAAACCAATTTAACATTTCAATAATATGGTTAAGTCACGAATTTTCAGCAAAATGTTCCTCCAATCACCAGCCTTGGTCAATGCTTGGTATCAACCGGAGAGAAACTCGATCACTTTCCCATTCGCCATTTTCAATCTCCCGTTCTACAAGTGAGCACATTTTTTACTTTTATCAATTTAAAATCTTACTAACCCATCAACAATTTTAGACTTGATTGGCCACAAGCAGTCAATTACGGAGGTTAGGGTGGAGTGGAGGGACACGAGTTGACCCATGGATATGATGATGAAGGTAACGGATCATGATAACTGGTTTTTGAAATCCAGAAGAAAAACAGCTAGCTTTGACTCAAAACATCGATTCTTGTCAGAAAACAAAAAGTTCAGGAGTTCAATTCGGTCCTGACGGTTCCCTATCTGGGTGTGACTCGTTCCGCTGTGGTTGGATGGATATGAATTCGACCGCTGGATTCACTGATATGGCTCAAGTGAGATATTTCTTGAATTAACTGTTTACTAGACTTGTAAAGTTGTTGGACAAAAACCTAAGCCCTGCTCATTATGGTCGTGTCACTTGATTTTTGGCCTTAATTTTTTGATTTTAAATGGCGAACTATATTATATTTTTAGACTTTTTAAAAAAATGGCATTTTTTTTTGGCTCAAAGACGGCGGAGAAAAAGCCCGTACAGATGGGCAGGCAGATAATTATATATAGTAGATGATCTATTTAGTGTGTTGTTACCCAATACACTACTCAATGTTGCCCGGTGAAAACGGGAAATGTGCATTGTGCGAACGGGGCCATCACACAAGGAGAGAACATCGCGGATTTGGGAGGTAAAATCCCCCAAAAATGGAGATTCTATCTATTCCTAGGTCAACAAGCCGCTTATCGGGCCTATCAAAAGTATGTGGCCACTCAATTGAATGGAGTTGAAGAACAGAGTTTGCCAGGATTGGAAGAGTACACACCAAATCAAATCTTCTGGATTGCAAAGGGTTTCGTCTGGTGCACCGTGCAATCGATTGATTCGCTTGTGAGACAGGTAGAGGAATGAATGGAAAGAATGTGAATGGTTTTTAGAAGTTTCAATTTAACCGCTACAATTTCTGCCTTACCTTGTTTAATTTCAGATGCTCACCAATCCCCACTCGCCTCCAGTTTGTCGAACAAACAACGTTGTTCAAGACATTCCCGAGTTTGGACAAGATTTTAGCTGTCCGCGTGGTTCCACGATGTATCCAAAAGATCAGGATCGATGCAAGGTCTGGGTGGGACCGTAAACGAAACATCTTTTTTGAATAAATCGTTTCTTAATCTTTACAAAAACAAAAAGCCAAAGGCCAACATATCAAAAAGCATAACTGTTTAAAAATCTAGCATAGCGTAGCAATGAAACCACATGGCCGTTTTTATAACAATTTGAACTTTTACTGCCTTTTTTATGTGAGTAAGCAAGAAATTTGGAGTTCATAAGTGCTAATTTATAGGATGAATTTGTTGAAATCTTTAAAAGAAAGTCACGAACGCCAAACTCAAATAGTTTTAGAGCTCAATTTTTCAGATTTGTTTTTTTAATATTATGCAACAATGGCTTCATCTTCTCAATTAAACCAACCACGCCACAGCGAAACCCTAGGAAAAACGGCGTGACCTTAGATTAACGGCTAGCCGCCAACGAATCATTTGTAAACGGCTGGCCGTTAACGAATCATTCGTTAGCGGCTAGCCTCTTTCGGTGTTTTCTTGAAGGATCCTTTCAAGTATGGCAAGAAAAAGTCTCCGGGACGTCATCGAAAGTTCACGGTCCGCGCTGAACGGCATAAGGGACGTCTGTTGTCGAATTCGGTGATGTCGCTACAGGACGCCATGGTACAAATTGGAGCTCCCTTCCATAAAAGCACTCTTTCTCGAGCCATCAAGTGTTACATCCGTTACATCAAAAGAGCAGCCATGAAGAAAGCACCAAAACTGAAGCCGGCACACAAAGAAAAAAGGATGTCTTGGGCCCGGGATCACAACACGATGGCAAAGTAAACTTTTGCCTTGAGTTGTTCTCTCTTCTTTATAGGCCACTTCAGCGATGGAAAAATTAATTTGGATGTCCGGCGGCAACAAGTACTATTGGCACGATTGGGGCATGCTTTGGGCGTCGACTTCCTGTGCTATTTTATACGATTTTTCGTACGGTTCACTTTCTGATGATATTGGTTTCTTTGATTCAATCATCATCGAGGGTGATCCCCTTGATCAATTCTTTGTCAGTCAAGGATTGCACTTCTTTGGAAACACTTTTAGCAGGTTTGAAAATTAAAGATTACAAACTTTCTATTCCGATTTCAGCCTGATAACCATCATTTTCACTTGATGGACAAAAAGCGAAAATTCTTCTGTCAAAATCACTCCAATCAACACAAATTTTATTTCGAATAAGAAAAATAACTCGATTTCGAGTATAAAAATAAATATGAAGCACTGTGGATTATAAATTCAATTCAGCTGTTTGTTTCTGTTCCAATTTTTCACCAAAATGTCTGACTCGGAACTTGAGCTATGTGTTAGATAAACACATTTGAATTGAATGGTTGGATCGCTAAATCAAGCTTAATATACGAATTCTGTGCCTTGCGAGTGCGTTTTCTAAAACGTAAGCTAAAATTAAACTCTTTTAGCTCAGTTTTTCAGATGAAACTTAATACAAAATCATTGAAATTTCGAGATTTCCTTTTATGTGCAATTTTCAAAGTTTAAATCTCAAAAGATCTTTATGAGTACCTTTTTTCTTTTTCTGGAAACACTTCTTAGAAAATACCAAGGTTTTTCCCTTACACGTGACAGAAAAATGTACTTTTAGTCAAAAACTCACGAGATTTTACTAAAGAAATTCCCACAAAAATCAACGATTAAAAAGCTGCGTAGAGAAAGTGTCTCTTTGACTCAAAGGATTCGGTTGAATATTCAATTCAACAATGAAACAGTTCTGGATCCGATACTTGGATCTTTTCCAAGTTCTTTTCGGGGTTATTCTTTTAACGAGTGAGTTGAGATTTCAGTAAATGAGCCAAGGATTTTCAGCGATCAATGAGGTATCGGCCATCATTTGTAAACAGAAATTCACGCTGGTGTCAAATGCGACCGATTTTGCTGATGAGGATTTTGGGAACACGACGATTGCTTGGCTTAACACGGCGTCTTCAGTGGTGAGACTTTTTATTAAACTTTTTTGGAGGTTTAGATCTATTAGGTTGATGCATAAGTCTTTTCTTTCCTTTTTTGATGCATAAGTCTTTTCGTTCCTTTTCGTACTGCCGCTTAAAACCAACAAATGCACCAATTGAACTACGGTTGATTTCATTAGAAAAACCAATTATTTTTCTGCAAGATAACATTAAAACGGGTTTAAAAATATTTAATGCCTGGATTTTCTTGAGAGTATGAAGTCGGGTAGTCAAAAAGGGCTAACTCGATGATGCGGTTTAGACACCTTAGCTAAAGAAAACCTATCTTCGTGTCAATAGATAAAAGATAGAGAGAAAAAACGTTTGATATTTCGCCAAAATTTCAGAGAAATTCATTCAGCCAATTTTTCCGTAGAGTTTTTTATAGATTTTTACGAAAAAGGCGTTTTTCACTCTCGAATTTGCTTGAAAGTGAACCGAAATTGATTTAAAAAGATGGAAATTGAACAAAAAAACACTTTTTTTATAGAGCAAACTATAGATTAATTGGTGAATTTGTTACTTTTTAATAGAAGTACGAAAAAAACGAAAAGACTTATGCATCAACCTAATATCTTGGTTTTTAGTTAAATCTAACCAACACTGATCTGGACTTGTCATACCAGATCTAGCTCAGCTTTGTTTGGCACTGGTCTTGATCTGGCCTACTTCCTAGTCTTCCTTGCCTGCTCGTTCAGAATTTGAATGTCGACTAAATAATTTGAAATTTTTGTTCTTTAGTCAATCGTCTTGAGCCTCCCACTCACCACAATCGCTGGCTACTTTTCGGCGACGAATGATCGATTGACATTTCCGATCAGGTAAAGTCTGAAATCAATCAGTTTTCATTCACATTTCAGATTACTGGCTTTTGGCGAGAATCTGAGCAAGTTTTTCTTGTTTTATTCTATGGATTGCCTAGTCTCTGCCAGATGACAAATCTCAACATTCAGTGAGTTTAACTAACAAGGAAAAAAAAGGCCAGCTGGCTGAACCGGCCAAATGCTATGTGACCTATACCATTCGACGCAGACATTTATACTGATTCCGAATATATCTTCCATTTTTGTTAAATGTTAATCTGCCAGGAGTTATAAGCGTCTAAAGTTTTGTTAGAGCTTTGAAAATGTGGGTCTTAGCGGCCTCCATGCGTGCCCAATTCGGTGCAGCCAATTCGGTGGTATAGCATTCGTTTCCAGGACGAGACCTCACAAGTTGGACCCCACTATGGATTTTTCTTTTGCTTTTTTCAAGAAGTGCTGACTAGTGTTCTTTGTACAGTGTTCAGCCAGTTGACCTCCCATTATAAGAATTAGAATAACTTTTTCTTTTCAGATGCCCATCATTTGTTGTTATCTCTTATTCCTGGTTCATCCGTAATATTTCCCAATACGCTTTTTTCGATTCCGCTCAATATTGTCAGTTGATGATCTCTGTGAGGTAATTGATAAAAACAAACTTTTAAACCAAGTTCTGAACAAATGAAAACGTTGATTCATCCTTTTAGCCGCTTCTTTGCCGTTGCCTCTAACGGGCTCTATTTCCATTCAACTCTCCGTTTTCCTTGGGCTCAATTCTTGATCCCCTTTTTAATTGGTGGCGGTTTTCGAAAACTCTTTGCATGGATTTTCTCAGCTGCTCGTGACACATCATATCTGCAAATTTTCGTTTTCTCTACCCCATATTTTATGCAATGCTCAATGGATTTAGTCACTAATCGAAGAATGAAAACAGTAAGACCACAAATACAAAGCTCAAACCAAATTCTCAGCTGAAACGAAGCGAAAAAACGACCAAAGCAGAAAATTTGCTAATGACTCAGGTGAGAAAAAGAGGTTTCTCAGAAAATTTTTGCAACTACAATAAACGAATAGTCAAAAGGCTAATAGTAAGGAGTATTAGGCAATGTATTAGGTTGATGCATAAGTCTTTTCGTTTTTTTCGTACTTCTGTTAAAAAGTAACAAATTCACCAATTAATCTATAGTTTGCTCTATAAAAAAAGTGTTTTTTTGTTCAATTTCCATCTTTTTAAATCAATTTCGGTTCACTTTCAAGCAAATTCGAGAGTGAAAAACGCCTTTTTCGTAAAAATCTATAAAAAACTCTACGGAAAAATTGGCTGAATGAATTTCTCTGAAATTTTGGCGAAATATCAAACGTTTTTTTTCTCTATCTTTTATCTATTGACACGAAGATAGGTTTTCTTTAGCTAAGGTGTCTAAACCGCATCATCGAGTTAGCCCTTTTTGACTACCCGACTTCATACTCTCAAGAAAATCCAGGCATTAAATATTTTTAAACCCGTTTTAATGTTATTTTGCAGAAAAATAATTGGTTTTTCTAATGAAATCAACCGTAGTTTAATTGGTGCATTTGTTGGCTTGAAACGGCAGACGAAAAGGAACGAAAAGACTTATGCATCAACCTAATATTTTCACATATTTCTTCATGGAATATGAATGCAAAGATATCAATATTGAAAGTCTTCATTTCATATTGTAGCGGAACAAAAGTCAAATAGTAACCCAGTTCAGCAACTACAAAACAAAAATCTTGTATTTCCAAGGTCCAGGGCTTTAAAATTATCAGGTGAAACTGGGCTTTAGTTAGTTTTGGGCTGATTCAAATACTTTTTGTGCACTAAGCCAAACCAGGCACAACTCTAACTAGTCCTGGCCGATTCTCGAACATCCTGACTCACCTCCAAGAGACTTAATCTAACCTCCAAGAGATCAATGGATAACGTTTCTGTTTCCTTTTCAGATGTTGTTCAGCTCGGGCTACGCATTAACCATCACAATTTTCGGCTGGATCATCCAGATCATTGTCCAATTCTTCTTTGGCATCCATGTCCAATCACTTCTCACAACTCTTCTCAGTTTTAATCGATATTTTCTCTTCTTCTTTGTGAACAGGTAAAATTTATATTTTTCAGCTATATTCTATATTTAGTGCAATCAGTTCTCTGTGTTTCCGGAAAAGACGAGAAAAAATTCGAGCTTTCCTAACAGCGACAAATCACACAACCACCACTGGGCCGTCGACCTCAAATTGGAACTCATAGATTTTATTGCAAAATAGATTTTCGAATGGATACAGAAAAAAATAAACATTTGGATATTATGCAAAAAATTTTATCGCCTTTATCAAAGCCAATTGTTCATCTGAAACTAGAGAGGCTGGTTGACAAGAATGACAATCGATTGACCAGTTGAACCTAAAATTGAACTCTTTTCGATTCAAAGGTTCTCGTTCATTAACAATTTAAGAAAGAATTACTGTAAAAGTTTGTAGTAATGATCATTCAAGTTATTGAAAGTGAAGATTTACTTCTGCAGAGAAAAACCCATTCGACTGAGGTGGGAATTTTCGAGATCAATGCAAAATAGTCACCGTATGAAGCAGCTCAATAAAGCTTTTTCATGAGTGCCAAAACGGGCTGTGCCAAAACAGCGCCGCTCAAAACCGCGACGCCCAAAACCGCGCCGCCCAAAACCGCGCCGCCCAAAACCGCGCCGCCCAAAACCGCGCCGCCCAAAACCGCGCCAATGCAAAAACGCCCAAAACAGCGACGATCAAAAAAAATTATGTTCTAGATTTTTGCGTTTGCTTTTTCTTTGCTGTTTTTAACTTTTTCTGTCCACTTTTTGTGTTTTTAGGGTAAAAAAAGGCGGAGAATCCGATTTTTTTAAGCTTTACGCATAGAAACTTGCGATAGCGCTTATTAAAGTGATTTTAACCAAAAATAACAAACTTTTTCCTTTCACGGCCTGTTTTTTAACGTTTTCACTAACTTTTTATTTTTGAAGGTAACAAAGCAATCTGAAACTGAACGAGGCCTTGCTGTATACTCATCATCGTCGTCTTATCATCACAGACCGACGTGAAATTTTGAGGTATATTTTATCAGCTTTATGGGTGTGTGACTTAATATTTGATTCGCCTAGCCATTTAGCATTTTCATTTTGCAGGTAATCAGTCAGCCACAATCAGAAATCGAGCGAGGCGCTGCTGCGTGTTTCAAAAGGACAAACGTGGCGGTTAAGGTATATTTTATCAGCTTTGTGTTAATATGGTTTGTTGATTTATGATTTTATGGTTTGTTAACATAGTTTCACGGTTTGGTAGTTATTAATTTATTTTTCTAGGCAGAATAACAAGCCAAAAAGGACGGTCACTGATTTACGACTCAGATGGATTCGAATATCGAAAGGACAAAGCACTTAAATGCGGTGTACTTTTGTGTTATGGGTAAGGGAAGTATAATTTATCTTGTAATACCCAGTTCTGTTTCTTTTAGGTGTTCAAAGGCGAAATGTCGGAGATTTTCCCATTAACTCAAGTTTTTCAAAGAATTTCAAAAATAAGTAATCAACTTTTCTTTGTAAACATTCATCAAGAAGTGATTTTTTTCCTGATCGATTTTTTCCTAAGAGTTTTCTTGCATCAGATTGTTGAAAAACTTCAGCTCGTAATTCGTTTGGAAGTGTCAGAAAGGGAAATCGTGAAAGTTTCTACTAAAAATTCGCATTACTGAATGATTTTAGTGAAAAAAAAAAGTACGAAGCCGATTAAAAAATAAAAAATAATTTCCTTACGCAAAAATTCACTCCCTATATAAATGCGACCAAAAGACATTTTTTCATGATTCTTACTTCTCGCTAAAGGGAGTGATTCACTGGCTACAGGTGAGTTCATCAGTTAGCTACAGTTCCCCAATTTTTCTAGTATGTTAAATCCGGAATCCGTTGCTCGTCACGATGCAATCAAGCGACAATTTGTCACGCAGCTCAATGACAATTGCGAAAAGTTGAGGATATTAGGAACAAAGGTAGGAAAATTCAGTATTGGGCTGATTTGTTGGAACTTTGTAAAGTATCCAAGTTTTTTTTCAGTTATGCAAGACTGGCAAAGGGATTATCGCGATCGAACTGGCCACCAATTTGTCCGGAGCGGGAATTGGAGGCGTAGCTGCAGCTGGTGTACTAATAACAATCATCACCGGTGGCACGGCTATTCCAGGTCTTTTAAATTAGATCTTACCAGATTTGCAAAATAAAATCTATTTTGAGTCGAATAAGTGTCACGCTTTAGTCGCAATCCTGGGCGCAACCGCATTTGGCGTTGGCGTGGCTGGGGCTGGAGCGGGTGTTGGCGGAATTTTGACTGATAAGGTAAAAATCCATCAAAAAAAGCATGAATCACTCTTTTTTTCAGTTTGCTGGGTCAAAAGAAATTATCGAAATTTACGAAAACATCTCAAATGCTTTGCAAGGGTATAGTGAACAAATCGCAGTCATCGAAAATGATATACTAGAACGAACGCGGCTTAGAATTGAAAACACAAATAAGACGGGATTGGTGAGTTGAGGGAGTTGATGATTTGTTTAGGTGATACGATTTTCAGGCATCATTTTTGGGTTTAGCCGGAAAATTGGTGCCGATGAGCGAGCTGGGAGCAATCGTCGTGAAAAAAACCGGAGAAGTGGCCGGAATTTTTGTAAGTCTTGTAAACAAAAATAGCGTTTATAAGATAGTTTCAAGACTTTAAAACAAAAGATAAACTAAACTAAACTACTGTACTTGAACTCATTTTTTGTAGGCTCTTCGAGTGGCCGGTGATGTGGCTGAGGCGGGAGCGCAAATGGCGGCTCGAAACGTTTTCGCTATAACTTCTGCACTCATTGGTGGTAGGTGGATCAATCAGCGAACTTGCTTTTTTCGAGCATTACAATTTGATTACTGTAAAAGTACTTTCTTTACTGTAAAAGTACTTTGATTACTGTAAAAGTACTTTGATTACTGTAAAAGTACTTGGATAAAAGTCTCACCATCAAACTAAATTAATGGCGGTGGCTACATTGCGGCAAATTTTTTGCGCAACTCGCCATAACTTTGTTCTAAGTGGGGCAACGTTTATGATTTTGGTATCATTTTGTAGATCTCAACGAGTGCAACAAAATGACACTAAAATGCTAAAGATTGACCTACTTAGAAGAAAGTTATAGCGAGTGGCGCAAAATTTGGCCCAAGTTAATGAGTCTACTGAGCGTTTGTGTTTCTTTTAGCTTTCTATATAAAAACTGTTTATTTGAATAGTATAATTGTATTTAAAAGACAACTATTTCCCTATTAGATCATCAATTTCAGTAGTAGGCGACTCAGCTTTGGCTGCCTGGAATATTTACCGTTTTCGAAACTCTCCGAGCCCGAAAGCGAAAACACTTCAAACGGTGAAAAATCTTAAATTTCTTTTTTAAAGAGTTTTCAGAAAATTGAGAATTTCGGGCTTTTGCAAGAGTTGATCGAAAATGATGTCGAGAGAAGGAAAATCGTCACCCACCTCCTCACCTTTCCCTATGAACCCCAATTCAATGCATTTTTTGACCTAACTCCAACTGATTTCAATTACATTTTCTCGTAAAAATTGACTAAATTTCAAATTTATCTAATAAACGTAATTTTACGGTTTTTATTTTACTTGTTATTGGTTAGCTTCCGATTTTCTATTCGAATCTCTCGAAAACTGATTTTTTTTTGTTACTATAAGAAAGTTCAGTTCAAATACAACTCACCGAAGAATTTTGTTTAAAAATGCTTAAAGTAAGGCTTTTCATCAAAATTTGTCTAACACAAAATTTCAGATTTACAAATTCGAAAAGGACAAAGAATCAAACCAAGAAAAACCGATCTTCTACCACGAGAATCTCACGAAAATTATGGAAAAAGTCGGCGATAGAAAGGTTTTCGAATTTGATTCCATTTCAGCTGATTGAAAAATGAATTTCCGGTTATTTTGGTGAGCATCTTTGGAATACGAAGGTCAGGAAAAAGCTTACTGCTGGAATTCATCAGAACTGAATTGGACGAACCGGGGGCTCTTAGGGATCCAAAAACAGTGATCGGGTTTGTGTTTCGTTTAGCATTTTACAGTAGAGTACTGTGCATTTCTCTATGATTTATTGGGTTTCATTTTATCATCTGAATAAATTCTCATTAATACTACCTTTGCTTTACAGTGGCCCGATGTGCATTCCGTTCATTGATGGAAAAGAGACGGGAACGAAAGGCATCGAGTTTTTCTCGGAACCGATTCCATTTGTCAACGATTTGGGAGAAGAGGTTCAGTAAAATTGGATACAATAGTCCATTAGAAAATCAAAAAACATAAAAAGGATTGTAAAACCGTAAAATATAAGATTTGCAGACAGCAGACACAATGATTTTTTCAGTGTTTTCTTCTGCTCGTCGATTCGAAAGGTTTTTTCGACTACGAGGCCTCGGCAAAGGAGATTTTTCACACAAATGCCATTCTTAATCTATACGCCAACATTTTGGTAAGAATTTTAAGAAAATTGAAACAATTCCAATCTAGATTTACAATGTTTCCGAAATCAATCAAACTGATGTGAAAACTTTTACGCTAAATGTCTCAAAAAGTGGCACCGATCTCGCGTTGGCTGAAGAAAAAGATGATAAGCCGGTTCGTTATTTGAAAAAGTTGACTTTGATTTGGGCAAACTGATTTAGATTTTGATCTTTTGCGAGAGAAATTCGAGAGGAGAAGTGACTGGTTATCTTCCGAATGAATTTCAAGAAAGAGTTTGCATAGAATTGCACTTTTAAGAATCGAAATTCTATTTTAGTTTAAATCAAATAGTAAATTAAACCTTGAAGTGGAAGTGCTTGAGGATAATTTTGGGGAAATTGAGGTAAAGATCAATTAGGATTCAAGTAAAATGCATCATTTCAGAATGTGAGCATTCCAAGTCCGGGAATGTTCCTTCAACGGGCAAATTATTTCAAGCCGATCACTTTGGGAAATGGAACGGACACGAGTAGGTTATAACAACGAAATCCTGAGCTTATCTTTTGTTTAGATCTTTAAGTTTTTACTTAATGCTCCAGTTCTAACTAGGGAAAGGCACGAATTTCCTGTGATCTTTCGTTTCCGGACCACATACATCTTACTAAATCGAGTATGGAGATTCATAATCTAAAATCAAAACTTGTCAAATAAGCTTGCAAAAGCGTCAAAATTGAATTGAAATTTCGAAGATAAGCTTTAAAACGCGCTTTTCAATCACGGAGATATGAGGACTGATGGCCTAGGTGGATAGTGGAATGGCCTCTCAGTAGTGAGGCCGGGGTTCGGCTCTTGGTTTTTGGTCCCTTTTCTTTAAATGTAACACTTTACAGGTTTTCTCAAAACTTCAACTTAATTTTTAGGCCTTTGCAAGCTTATTTGACAGAATTTGATTTTAGCTTATGAATCTCCATACTTGATTTAGTAAGATGTATGCGGTCCGGAAACGAAAGCTCACGGGAAGTTTGTGCCTTTCCGTAGTCAATCTTGTTAAATAAAATGATAGCCCAGCTACAGATTACGACCAAATTAGCCAACTTGAACAAGGCTAAATAATTTTATAAATGTACAAAAGCTTAGTTGACGAATACACTGAAAAATTCATTGATGGAGTCCTGGCTTTGAAGGATCTTATCATTCACAAAGCAAAAAGAATGCCAGGAAAAAGTTTGCACGATTTCCGGGCATTTTGCGAGGTTTGTGGATTTCGTTCAAAAATTGAAACTTTTGAATAAGGTGCTCGTTGCGAACGCGGATCGATTTGGGGAAAACGATTTTGACAATCTTCAGGTGAGTGATTTGGTGAGACCATGAAGGTTGCGCTAACAAAGCTAAAATTATTTCATACATGGTAAGCAAGAGGTGCATGTAGGACTTAAGTGGCTGGGTTAATCTCATTGTTTAACAATGAATACTCACTTACGAGTGAGTAGGCCGATTACAACTTGAAAAATGGATACAAATTGTATGCTAAAACATTAATAGATTGAAACTTTGCCCATAGAGAATTATTATTTCGTAAATGGTATGGTTGGAAAATTGCAGATTTTGCAAAAAGGTTGGCAGCGAAAACTTTAGGGAAAACGATTTTGACAATCTGCCTATTAAAGCGTTAAAAACTTAGCAAAAGAGATTTTTCTCCTCATCAGCCAACCAATCAATCAGGTATTTTAGTTGATTCGTTGCTCAGTGGCAAACATTGCCCTTCAAAATGGGATCTCAGCTTGGACGAGCGATTTCGCATACGAGAAAAGTGTTCTGGAGACTTGGGTTTAGTTTAACCTCATTCATAAAGTTAACCCAAAATTTAGGCAAAGAACTCGAAGTTCGCAGAAATTTTGGAAAAACTGACCGAGATCTTCAAGCAAGCAAAACAGGTGCAATTTTTTTTTCATCTAGCTAACTTCTTAGCATTCAGATTCATCTCGAGAAACTCCAAATGAAAACAAAGGATTTCGTTTCGGCTGAACAAGCAAGAGCTGAAGAAGAATTGAATGTTTGTTTAAAAAAAAGAAACTAGTGTATTTGTCATTTCAGAAACAACTAAATAATGCAAAATTGGACTTGGGTCTTATCGGTGTCGAGTCGGAAACGGCAAAATTGATCGAGAAACGGACAAAGTTGCTGGTTTGTGATTGGATTTTCTAGTAATTTAACTCGGAAAACTTTTCCTTTACAATTTTTAGCAACTTCCTGTGAAAAAGTCTAAATAACACTTTAAGAATTAAGACCTTTCAAATCAAAGATATTTGTTTTTCTAGGAGGAGCGTCTCGTCGAAGGAAACTATTCCCGAAAATTGATCGATTCAGCTGCAATTCGAGATGATTGGCGAAAAATAATACTGGATATTTTCAAAAATTTAGGTTGTAGGCAGTTTTAGTTGAAAGGATCTTAGCTCTGAACGTAGATTTGAATTTGAATAGCTGAGTTCATTTAAGCAGATTGTTGATACAAATTCATAAACAATTCACTCTAGGACTCACCAAATACGAACGAAATGAATGGAATGATCGAGTTCTTCGAAAAGAACGCGAACTTAGCTTGCAAATCAAGGTCAGTCGGTTATTAAGAGAAAAAACAAGAACAAAATCAAGCTTTTTGCAATGTTTTAGGGTCTAATCGGTCAAAGGGATACCTATGAACTTCTTTTCTATGAGCTCGAAACAAAAGAAATGGAAATCAAAAGAGAATTGAATTACAAACTCGTGGAACAGGTTGCAAATGAAGCTTCTAAAATTAGGAATCAAATTTTCAGCTAGCAAAAAACTTTGGAGATTTTTCTGTGCGTGGTTTGGAGACACTTTGTGATGTGGTTATTCCTGAGGAATTGTTTGATCAAGAAAAACACGGGAAATTAGCTTTGGTCAGTTATTTTAGAACTCGAAGTTGTTTCAAAAAAGTTAAGTGAAAAAGTGAAAAGATAGAAATGTTTCAGAAAGGTCAAATCTTTCCGAGTCCTTTCTCGACAAGTCTTTTTGATTTCCTTACCCAATCACTTTTTGAATGGGCACGAAAAAGGGGAAATGATGGGTACAAAGAGATTTGGAATAAACATTCAAGAATTCGGCAAGAAATCTTCCAAAAAGTTCTTCTCTATCGTCGAGCGAACTCTTTTATGCCAATGATCCAGGTAGAGCTTTTCAGTTCTTAAACATGTACAAACTAGGAAATTGTCTAGGAAATTGTTGCAAATGCAGCTGATGCACTCAATGAAAATCTTCAAAACCGACAGAAAGATCTGATGGAAAAGTTGGAGAAACAGGGAGTGAAATTGGTATATTTTTTTTGAAGAATAGCCTATCTATGAAAAAATTTAGTGTAAAAACGATGAAGAAGCAAAGAAAGGAGATGAGAATAAAGAGAATCAATCGAAAAATTTGTGTGTATTAAGTGAACCGAAAAATCAAACGTCATAAAGAATTTATGTGTTTTTGCGCAATTAATCCCATTGATTAACAACGAATACCCACTTACGGGTAAGTAATGCTTGAAACAGCTTGAAACAGCTTGAAAGATGGATACAAATTGTGTATTAAAATATTCTGAGATTGAAATTTTGTTCATAAGGAATTTTTACTTTTTGAATTTTTGTTAATAGAATATCAAATGTTTCCATTCTCACCACAAAACAATCTGTCTAGTGCACAAATGACACAAACTCTTTCGGAAAAAGAGAAAGAGTGTTTGAGGAACGAGAGAAACTGTGCTTTTTCTGTTTTCAAAAGAGAAAAATCTTTCTTTCGTCACAAAATAGAGGCAAATACACAATTTTCGAGAGAGAAAACCCGCAGAAAGCCTTGTTCTATGGATTTTCGATGATTTTTACCCAAAGAACGAGTATTTTGTAGGGCCAGAAAAGTATATAATGGAAAGTTTGGATGAAAGTTTACATTCAGATTACTTGATTTACTAACAAATTCTCGTGGAGAAATATCGTTATTTTAAAGCTGGAAATATGAAATTTCATTTTCTCATTGAATAGTACCAGTGGAAAAGCTAAATTCCCAAAATGGACAATATAATAGCTTTGATTTGAAACAGCACTTAGATTTGCCCTTAGACAAGTTTGGGATAGCCAAATATAGATACTTTATTCAGGACCTGAGATAAAGTGCGCTAGATTTAAGATTAAAACACATGAATTCGTAGACACAACACGAAAAGGGCCGATAGAAAGCAACACAACATAATATATGTAATATATGGGTAGCACAGATAACGTCAAGGATCCACTAGAGCTTCAAGATCAAGATCATCTACAGATAATTTAAAGGTTTCGAGACTATTGGACTCTCTCAAAACTCTGGGGAGTCGATTCCAAATTCTGGCAGTTCTTATTGGAAAAGAGTTATACACAAACTTATTGGAGGTGACTGGAATTTCTAAAACGAAAGAACCTCTTGAACCTTCTTGAACTAACCGTGGGATTAACTTTGAATAAATCTCGAAAAAGAGAAAAAGTTGCCTGCCCTTTACAATTTTGAAACATTCTATTAAATCCGTGACCAAGCGGCGGTGTCTAAGAGATTTAAGATCAAAAATTTTGAGTCTATCTGTGTAACTAAAGTATGCGAATTTGGAAAAATCATGAAAAATGGGGATTAAATTTTGAAGAATAGCCTATTTATGAAAAAATTTAGTGGAAAAACGATGAAGAAGCAAAGAAAGGAGATGAGAATAAAGAGAATCAATCGAAAAATTTGTGTGTATTAAGTGAACCGAAAAATCAAACGTCATAAAGAATTTATGTGTTTTTGCGCAATTAATCCCATTGATTAACAACGAATACCCACTTAGGGGTAAGTAATGCTTGAAACAGCTTGAAACAGCTTGAAAGATGGATACAAATTGTGTCTTAAAACATGAAGAACATTGAACTCTTGTCCATAAGGAATTTTTATTTTTTCAATTTTTAATTTTTAATTTTGACAATTTTTGAGAGAGAAAACCCGCTGAAAGCCTTTTTCTATGGATTTTAGAATATCAAATGTTTCCATTCTCACCATAAATCAATCTGTCTAGTGCACAAATGTCACAAACTCTTTCGGAAAAAGAGAAAGAGTGTTTGTGAAATGAGAGAAATTGTGCTCTTTCTGTTTTCAAAATCAGAAAAATCTTTTAACACAAATTAGCGTCAATTTTGACAATTTTTGAGAGAGAAAACCCGCCGAAAGCCTTTTTCTATGGATTTTCGATGATTTTTACCCAAAGAACGAGTATTTTGTAGGGCAAGAAAAGTATATAATGTGAAAGATTAGATTAAAATTACTTGATTTACTAACAAGTTCTCCTCAAAATGGTCTTTGAAAGGATTCATGGTGATGCTGTTGAGAATATCTCCGTACTTGGCAATGAGATGAAGTTCAACTCAGGAAAAATGGCAAGAAATCGATTCATGAAGGTAGAAATACTAATAAAAACATTTATCTCTAATAACAAAAAATTTTCGACATTTGACAATGAATGACACTTACAGAAAGTGTTTCATCACTTACGTTAGACCCATTCTAGAGTATGCATCTATAGTGTGGTCTCCACATACACAAGATATCTCTCGCCTAGAAAAAATCCAGCAGAGATATACTAGGATAGCTCTATGGAAAATAGATTTTTCCAAATTCGCATACTTTAGTTACACAGATAGACTCAAAATTTTTGATCTTAAATCTCTTAGACACCGCCGCTTGGTCACGGATTTAATAGAATGTTTCAAAATTGTAAAGGGCAGGCAACTTTTTCCTCTTTTTCGAGATTTATTCAAAGTTAATCCCACGGTTAGTTCAAGAAGGTTCAAGAGGTTCTTTCGTTTTAGAAATTCCAGTCACCTCCAATAAGTTTGTGTATAACTCTTTTCCAATAAGAACTGCCAGAATTTGGAATCGACTCCCCAGAGTTTTGAGAGAGTCCAATAGTCTCGAAACCTTTAAATTATCTGTAGATGATCTTGATCTTGAAGCTCTAGTGGATCCTTGACGTTATCTGTGCTACCCATATATTACATATATTATGTTGTGTTGCTTTCTATCGGCCCTTTTCGTGTTGTGTCTACGAATTCATGTGTTTTAATCTTAAATCTAGCGCACTTTATCTCAGGTCCTGAATAAAGTATCTATATTTGGCTATCCCAAACTTGTCTAAGGGCAAATCTAAGTGCTGTTTCAAATCAAAGCTATTATATTGTCCATTTTGGGAATTTAGCTTTTCCACTGGTACTATTCAATGAGAAAATGAAATTTCATATTTCCAGCTTTAAAATAACGATATTTCTCCACCCTATTCCTTCAGGCAGCCATGACCGAACGTCTCAGCACGTACTCTCCCGATTCCCCGAAAGAACACGGGATTCCCACCGATTCCCTTATCAATCTCTATTCCTTCAGGCAGCCATGACCGAACGTCTCAGCACGTACTCTCCCGATTCCCCGAAAGAACACGGGATTCCCACCGATTCCCTTATCAATCTCTATGAAAAATGGGGAAATGGAGGTTTTGGGATGATTTTGACTGGAAATGTCCCCGTTGATCCGGTAAATTAAAATCCATTAAATGAAAAGAAATGGGATTGTTTAGCTTCACCTTGAAAGCCCTGGCAATTTGCTCATCTCCAAGGAAAACGATTCCCCGAAGTTGAGAGCTTCAGTTGAAAAGGTTTAGATTTGTCAAATTTTACTGTATTTCGCAGAAATATTGATAAAAGCTAACATTTAACCTTTTTAGATACGCAAAAGCTTGCAAAGCAGACGGAGCGCTGGCTGTTGTTCAGCTCACACATGTGAGGACTAATTTCAATTGACTTTTAAAACTGAACCACAAAATGAAGATAATCGTTAAACTAAATTACTAAATTATCCATATTTTTTTATCCAAACTTATTTTTTATTTTCAGGGTGGCCGTCAAACTTCAACAATCATCAATCCTCATCCGCGAAGCTCATCCGACATACAACTAAAGGGGAAAACTCTGGGATTAACCTTTGGAAAACCGATTCCATTAACAGGTTAATTTCTCAAAAAAAAACAAAATAAAGCTAAATAGACAAAGCTGAAGTTGAGTTTTTATGTTTTTATCAGTATCAACCTTTTTAGAGGAGGAAATCCAAAGTGACGTCGTTGAGCGCTTCACTTTTGCCGCTGAAGTATGCCATCAAGCGGGTAAGCTGAAGATCAAGATAACAATCAATCAATCAAATTAAAACCAATCTCAAAACCAACTCCCGATCTAGGTTTTGATGGTGTTCAACTACACGGTGCTCACGGTTACCTCCTTGCTCAATTCATGTCTCCCACAACGAATAAGAGAACAGATAAATATGGGGGGAATGCTGAGAATCGAATCAGAATCGTTTTGGAAATCTATGATTCGATTAGGTAAAGAAAATTTTCAAGTCATTAAGTATCAAACTTTCAGATCAAAAATCCCTCAATCCAGTGGTTTTCTCGTTGGACTGAAGATGAATTCGGTCGAGTTTCAAGAAGAGGGTTTGAAAACAAATGATGCCAAGAGGATGTGTGAATTGATTGACGTAAATTCTACTCATGAATACTATTATTGCTAAATAGTGTCACAAAATGCTTCAAAATGCTTCAAAATGAAGTTTTTCAGGAAAAAGGCTTCGATTTCGTGGAGATGTCCGGTGGGACTTATGAGAAACTAGCTTTTGAACATCAACGCGAATCGACAAAAATGAGAGAGGCTTTCTTTTTAGAGTTCACTGATCAGGTAAAAGGTTAATGGAAAACAAGTTCAACTTTTATTTTAGATCCGATCTTCTTTGAAAAGCACAAAAATGTATGTGACTGGCGGTTTTAGAACGGCTAAGGTAAAAGAAAATCAAAAAAATTTTGTTAAATACGAGAGTTCTAGTGGATGGCCAAAGCGATCGAAGATGGGAATTGTGATGGGGTCGGGTTGGGAAGGCCGGCCACCGCTGAGCCTGGTGGGGAATTTATGGAGAAAACTTGAAAAAACTAAACTTAAGTAGCTATTTGTTAGATATGTTTGTTATATTTGACTGCTGTAATGGTATAGGATTGATATTTCAGATATGATTGTTAGCATTTTTACTAACAAAATAGAAATCAATATCACCAGAGGAAGAAGAATAAGAGAAACAAAATTGAAAATGAACAACCATGAGACTGACGACTACGCGTCGTTCCATTTGACGCATAGGGCAAAATAGAAAAGAATTTGTGGGAATCTTTTCTCAATACCATTAAACTTATCCGATTGTCTCGATAAAAAAATCAGCCCTTTTACTTACTATCTTTTAGATTTACCCAAGAAAATCCTGAACTTTGGAGTGCTCGCAGCAGCCGATACGAAGATCAATCAAAAAGATTATCCAATCACAAATGCGGGTAAGTATTTGAAAATTTCATTGATTTACAAAATTTCAAAAAGATTTAACTTTAAAAGTCTCTTTTTGAAGCCATTTGTAAATAGAGCAATTTTTGGTCGATTCACAGGACACATTTCCAAAAATTACTACCCAAAAGCCAACGGTAATTTTCGGAAGTGGATATGCTTTATAAAATGCACTACTCGAAATCTAATATCGCAAGTTTTATTTCTCAAATCCATTTCCAGCCTCGATGACCCAAATGTGGCAAGCCGGTCGCTTCCCCGTCGAGAAAGTCCAAAAAGTGACCGATGGAATTGTGGATCTCTCCATTCAAACCCTTGCAACAAGATTCCTAAATGAATCCAAAGTATGAAATGAAATTTTGGCAATAAAAACAAAAATTTCTAGATCTTCATGGCTGAAATCGGGAAGAAACTTGAAAGAGGAGAGCCGGTATCTGGTGTTTTCGAATTTGAATCGAATATCGCTGTTTGATCTCAAAGATTTTATGAATCTTGCTGAATTGTACATAAGTTTTTCCTAGATGCAATAAAGTTTTCGGTTGATTTTTTGTTTTCCAGAGAAGCACTCTCATTCAATTCTCATCGTTCTCAAGAAGCTCTGCAACTCGATTTTCTCAGCCAATACCAATTGACCAACAAAGACTAAAGTTTTACTGCTTTACGGCCATACGTTTCGGAACTTTTTCGTGTAAAGGTACGGCTGGGAGCTGCGGGCATACCCAGCATATGGTCCCGATATGGTTACTATCTTTTTGAGCAGCTGTTTGGCTACTTGATTTTTTGGCTGTTTGGCTAATTCACGAAGATACTGACCAAATACCGAGCTGACATAAGTTTGGAGCACCCTGTATAGTGAGCACCAAATAAGTCTAACATTTTCATGAAATCCAGGAGGCAGACAGAGTTTTCAAGACAGTGAATAGTGGAAAGAGCTTATATCTGAATATTTAATAACTCTATTGAATCAAAATTCTTTTCAAATGCGGTAAGATTCAGGCGGGACTTGGTACAATCAACCGGAATAGCATGAAGTGCATGCCATTTGTAAGAAACCAATTGATTAGTTCAATGAATAAATGTTTTTCATATGCTACACTGTAATAATGCACTGCGTGATGAAATGAAAATCAAAGTTTCTCTTACTATGCTGTACTTCACTTTAATGGATTTAATTTTTAATGGTTTAACGAATTTCCGGTACTTGTCCGTTCTGTCCCTTATTGTATCCATCACCAATGGATTTATGGAGTATATGAAGTTCCGTTTAAGTTCCATTAATAAAGAGCATCTCCAATGTATCCGATCTCGGTCTGCACCATGAATTCTGTAAGATAACTTGAGAGGAAATGTCGAGCCCTTCCGTGCTCCACCTTGTTCCTTTTCCGCCATTTAGCACTGCCCCAAATCCATTCCACCGTTTGAGAACCTCTTCGAGAATAAACTTTCATCAATCTCAACGAAGCGGCCGGACCTCTGATCTTCTTGATTGGCTTGTCGATGAGAAAATCTCTCTGTAACTTTTAAAATTGGCAGTTGTCTTGTGGTTGATTCCAAGGGGCTCTTCACAAAATTTGGGGCTTGTTAGCTTCTTCGTCCAATAATAGATGAAGTGGTTGATTGTCACACAAGGCAGATGGGCTCCTTGAAACCACGTTGCATTTTGAACTTCTGATTCAGCATTCTGGCATGGGTTCCTTCTGCAGCGATAACAAGGTGTCGTATTGTACAAAATTAACCAATAAAACCAATATAACCAACCAATAAAACAAAATTAACCAATAAAACTCATGGTTTAAAAATCTTTTTATTGAAAAACAAAAATTATCATAACAAATTTATTCTCTATATTACTTTCAACACTGGTTTATTTCTTCTCGAAAATATCTCCATGAACAGCCGCACAAGCGGCGAGACGTTTTGGGAAGCCGTCGATGATGGCGAAAAGATACAAATTCAGCCCAAGCTTTCTGGAGTGATTTTTTCAGTGAATCAATGCTTGAATGTGCTTTTGAGCAGGCCTTTGCTTTGAGAATACTCCAGACTGAGTAATCCATTGGATTTAAATCGGGGCTTGATGGACTTGATGATGGACTACTTGATGGACTGCTTAAAGCTGATGAAATCCGGGAAGTTTCGTTCAGACCAGTCTTGGACAATTCGTGCTTTGTGGACAGGCGCCGCATCTTGCTGAAAGCACCAAGTTGCGGTCAAAATTTTCATAATAAACAAAAGTAGCAAAGATAGTCAACCGAAAAGCGCGTAACAGTAAAGCGCGGGAAACGGAGGTTGGGAAAAAATCAAGTAGCCAAACAGCTGCTCAAAAAGATAGTAATCATATCGGGACCATATGCTGGGTATGCAAGCAGCTCCCAGCCGTACCTTTACACGAACAAGTTTCGAAACGTATGACCGTAAAGCCGTAAAACTTTGGTCTTTGTTGGTCAATTGGTACTGGCCTAGAAATCGAGTTGCAGAGCTTCTTAAGGACGATGAGAATTAAATGAGAGTGCTTTGCTGGAAAAGAACTGGAAAAATCAACTGAAAACTTTATTGCATCTAGGAAAAACTTATGTACAATTCAGCAAGATTCATAAAATCTTTGAGATCAAACAGCGATATTCGATTCAAATTCGAAAACACCAGATACCGGCTCTCCTCTTTCAAGTTTCTTCCCGATTTCAGCCATGAAGATCTAGAAATTTTTGTTTTTATTGCCAAAATTTCATTTCATACTTTGGATTCATTTAGGTATCTTGTTGCAAGGGTTTGAATGGAGAGATCCATAATTCCATCGGTCACTTTTTGGATTTTCTCGACGGGGAAGCGACCGGCTTGCCATATTTGGGTCATCGAGGCTGGAAATGGGATTTGAGAAATAAAACTTGCGATATTAGATTTCGAGCAGTGCATTTTATTAGGTACGGAAAAAAATTAATGTCGTATTTGTGGGTCTCACTTTCCGGCGTCGCCTACGCGGCTGCAGATGCTTATTGACCTTGGGTCCTTTTAATGTATTTGAGTATTTTCTTTTCTGTTTCACACTTTTGCTTAGACCTTCCTTAATGGTTTTTTTTAGGTTGTTTTACATCGATAGAAAATCGAGACTTTCGCCTCCTCTTCTTGTATGAGTTCAAGCTTGGCCACAATGCGTCAGAAGCGACCCAAAACATCAATCAAGCTTTTGGGGAAGGCAAAGCTGAAGTTCGAGCAGTTCAGCGCTGGTTGAAACGATTCCGGGAAGGCGACGAGGATCTTAATGACAAGGAAGGCTGCGGACGCCATGTTAGTCTCGACAATGACGAATTAAAGGAGCTGGTAGAAGCGGATCCCAGAACAACGGAGGGAGAATTAGCAACGCACTTTGGGGTCACTCCACACACAATTGGGAACCATCTCAAGGAGATCGGAAAAGTAGAAAAGTTGGAAAAGTGGGTGCCTCATCAGTTGAATGAATATCAAAAATTGCACCGTTACCTCACATCGTATTCATTGCTGATTCGTAATCAAAATGGGCCATTTCTGGATCGAATTGTAACTTGTGATAAAATGGGTCCTCTACGATAACCAAAAACGCAAAGCCGAATGGCTAGATAAAGGACAACCACCGAACCCCTTTCCGAAGCCCGACCTACACCCAAAGAAGCTTCTTCTCAGTGTTTGGTGGTCACAGAGAGGTCTGATCCATTATTCAATTCTACCAAACGGAAAAACGATGAATTTTGATCAGTATATTCACGAAATAAACGAAATGTATGAAAAACTTCGAAGGATCGATCCAGCTCTAGTGAATCGGAAGGCTCCCATCCTATTGCAAGACAACGCCCACCCGCATTGTTCACTGAAGGCTCTTCAAAAATTGAACCAGCTGCACATTGAAGTCCTCCCTCATGCTCCATATTCTCCTGATTTGTCGCCTACGGATTTCCACTTTTTCAAGTTCCTCGATCACTTCTTATCGGAGAAATGCTTTACTACTCAAGGGGAGGTCGAAAATGGCATCAAGGAGTTTATCGATTCAATGGAGCCCGTCTTCTACACTTTAGGAATTGAAAACTTAGCCAAACGTTGGCAATCATGTATAGATTCTACTGGTTTTTACTTTGATTAAATTGCTTTTGAAATAAAAATTTTATGAACGTTTGAACTTTAGTGAAAATATACGACATTAATCTTTTCCGTACCTAATATAAAGCATCTTCCACTTCCGAAAATTACCGTTGGCTTTTGGGTAGTAATTTTCGGAAATGTGTCATGTGCACGGGACTAAAGGTTGCTCTTTTTGCAAATGGTTTCAAAAGGAAACTTTTAAACGTAAATCTTTCTGAAATTTTGTAAATCAATCAAATTTTCAAATACTTACCCGCAATTGTGATAGCATGGTCTTTTTGATTGATCTTCGTATCGGCTGCTGCGAGCACTCCAAAGTTCAGGATTTTCCTGGGTAAATCTAAAAGATAACAAGTAAAAGGGCTGACTTTTTATAGAGACAATCGGATAAATTTAATAGTATTGAGAAAAGATTCCCACAAATTCTTTTCTATTTTGCCCTATGCGTCAAATGGAACGACGCGTAGTCGTCAGTCTCATGGTTGTTCATTTTCAATTTTGTTTCTCTTATTCTTCTTCCTCTGGTGATATTGATTTCTATTTTGTTAGTAAAAATGCTAACAATCATATCTGAAATATCAAACCTATACCATTACAGCAGTCAAATATAACAAACATATCTAACAAATAGCTACTTAAGTTTAGTTTTTTCAAGTTCTGGCCATAAATTCCCCACCAGGCTCAGCGGTGACCGGCCTTCCCAACCCGACCCCATCACAATTCCCATCTTCAATCGCTTTGACCATCCACTAGAACTCTTGTATTCGAGAAATTTTGATTTTCTTTTACCTTAACCGTTCTAAAACCGCCAGTCACATACATTTTTGTGCTTTTCAAAGCAGATCGGATCTGAAATAACAGTTGAACTTGTTTTCCATTAACCTTTTACCTGATCAGTGAACTTTAAAAAGAAAGCCTCTCTTATTTTTGTCGATTCGGGTTGATGTTCAAAAGCGTGTTTCTCATAAGTTCCACCGCACATGTCCACGAAATCGAAGCCTTTTTCCTGAAAGAGTTGATTTTGAAGCATTTTGTGACACTATTTAGCAATAATAGTATTCATGAGTAGAATTTACGTCAATCAATTCACACATCCTCTTCGCATCATTTGTTTTCAAACCCTCTTCTTGAAACTCGACCGAATTCATCTTCAGTCCAACGAGGAAACCACTGGATTGAGGGATTTTTGATCTGAAAATTAGATACTTAATGACTTGAAAATTTTCTCTGCCTGATCGAATCATAGATTTCCAAAACGATTCTGATTCGATTCTCAGCATTCCCCCCGTATTTATCTGTCCTCTTATTCGTTGTGGGTGATATGAATTGAGCAAGGAGGTGACCGTGACCACCGTGAAGTTCAACACCATCAAATCCTAGATCGGGGGTTCGTTTTGTAATTGGTTTTAGTTTGATTGATTGATTTTTATCTTGATCTTCAGCTTACCCGCTTGGTGGCATACTTCAGCGGCAAAAGTGAAGCGCTCAACGACGTCGCTTTGAATTTCCTCCTCTATAAAGGTTGTTACTGATAAAAACATTAAAAACTCAACTTGAGTTTTGTTTATTTCGTTTCATTTTCGATTTTTTCGATACCTGTCAATGGAATCGGTTTTCCATAGGTTAATCCCAGGGTTTTTCCCTTTAGTTGTATATCGGATGAGCTCCGCGGATGAGGATTGACTATTGTTGGAGTTTGACGGCCACCCTGAAAATCAAAAATAGCCATTTTTAATAGAGTCCTCACATGTGTGAGCTGAACAACAGCCAGCGCTCCGTCTGCTTTGCAAGCTTTTGCGTGTCTAAAAAGGTTAAATTATTTCTAGATTTCTGAGAAATACAGTAAAATTTGACAAATCTAAACCTTTTCAACTGAGCTCTCAACTTCGGGGAATCGTTTTCCTTGGAGATGAGCAAATTGCCGGGGCCTTCAAGGTGAAGCTAAACAATTCCTTTTCATTTCATTTAATGGATTTTAATTTACCGGATCAACGGGGACATTTCCAGTCAAAATCATCCCAAAACCTCCATTTCCCCATTTTTCATAGAGATTGATAAGGGAATCGGTGGGAATCCCGTGTTCTTTCGGGGAATCGGGAGAGTACGTGCTGAGACGTTCGGTCATGGCTGCCTGAAGGAATAGGGTGGAGAAATATCGTTATTTTAAAGCTGGAAATATGAAATTTCATTTTCTCATTGAATAGTACCAGTGGAAAAGCTAAATTCCCAAAATGGACAATAAAATAGCTTAGATTTGCCCCAAGAGTTTGGGATAGCAAATGTCCGAAATATTATCAAAAAACGGTGCACTATTATTAGAGAAAAGTTATTAGAGAAATTTTATGTTATTAGAGATAAATGTTTTTATTAGTCTTTCTACCTTCATCAATCGATTCCTTGCCATTTTTCCTGAGTTGAACTTCATCTCGTTGCCAAGTACGGAGATATTCTCAACGGCATCACCATGAATCCTTTCAAAGACCATTTTGAGGAGAACTTGTTAGTAAATCAAGTAATTTTAATCTAATCTTTCACATTATATACTTTTCTTGCCCTACAAAATACTCGTTCTTTGGGTAAAAATCATCGAAAATCCATAGAAAAAGGCTTTCGGCGGGTTTTCTCTCTCAAAAATTGTCAAAATTGACGCTAATTTGTGTTAAAAGATTTTTCTGATTTTGAAAACAGAAAGAGCACAATTTCTCTCATTTCACAAACACTCTTTCTCTTTTTCCGAAAGAGTTTGTGACATTTGTGCACTAGACAGATTGATTTATGGTGAGAATGGAAACATTTGATATTCTAAAATCCATAGAAAAAGGCTTTCAGCGGGTTTTCTCTCTCAAAAATTGTCAAAATTAAAAATTAAAAATTGAAAAAATAAAAATTCCTTATGGACAAGAGTTCAATGTTCTTCATGTTTTAAGACACAATTTGTATCCATCTTTCAAGCTGTTTCAAGCTGTTTCAAGCATTACTTACCCCTAAGTGGGTATTCGTTGTTAATCAATGGGATTAATTGCGCAAAAACACATAAATTCTTTATGACGTTTGATTTTTCGGTTCACTTAATACACACAAATTTTTCGATTGATTCTCTTTATTCTCATCTCCTTTCTTTGCTTCTTCATCGTTTTTCCACTAAATTTTTTCATAAATAGGCTATTCTTCAAAAAAAATATACCAATTTCACTCCCTGTTTCTCCAACTTTTCCATCAGATCTTTCTGTCGGTTTTGAAGATTTTCATTGAGTGCATCAGCTGCATTTGCAACAATTTTCTAGACAATTTCCTAGTTTATACATGTTTAAGAACTGAAAAGCTCTACCTGGATCATTGGCATAAAAGAGTTCGCTCGACGATAGAGAAGAACTTTTTGAAAGATTTCTTGTCGAATTCTTGAATGTTTATTCCAAATCTCTTTGTACCCATCATTTCCCCTTTTTCGTGCCCATTCAAAAAGTGATTGGGTAAGGAAATCAAAAAGACTTGTCGAGAAAGGACTCGGAAAGATTTGACCTTTCTGAAACATTTCAATCTTTTCACTTTTTAACTAACTTTAACTTTTTTGAAACAACTTCGAGTTCTAAAATAACCGACCAAAGCTAATTTCCCGTGTTTTTCTTGATCAACCAATTCCTCAGGAATAACCACATCACAAAGTGTCTCCAAACCACTCACAGAAAAATCTCCAAAGTTTTTTGCTAGCTGAAAATTTGATTCCTAATTTTAGAAGCTTCATTTGCAACCTGTTCCACGAGTTTGTAATTCAATTCTCTTTGGATTTCCATTTCTTTTGTTTCGAGTTCAAAGAGAAGAAGTTCATAGGTATCCCTTTGATCGATTAGACCCTAAAACATGGCAAAAAGGTGGATTTTGTTCTTGTTTTTTCTTTTAATAACCGACTGACTTTGAATTGCAAGCTAAGTTCGCGTTCTTTTCGAAGAACTCGATCATTCCATTCATTTCGTTCGTATTTGGTGAGTCCTAGAGTGGATTGTTTATGAATTTGTATCAACAATCTGCTTAAATGAACTCAGCTATTCAAATTCAAATCTACGCTCAGAGCTAAGATCCTTACAACTAAAACTGCCTACAACCTAAATTTTTGAAAATATCCAGTATTATTTTTCGCCAATCATCTCGAATTGCAGCTGAATCGATCAATTTTCGGGAATAGTTTCCTTCGACGAGACGCTCCTCCTAGAAAAACAAATACCTTTGATTTAAAAGGTCTTAATTCTTAAAGTGATATTTAGCATTTTTCATAGAAAGTTCCTAAAAATTGTAAAGGAAAAGTTTTCCGAGTTAAATTGCTAGAAAATCCAATCACAAACCAGCAACTTTGTCCGTTTCTCGATCAATTTTGCCGTTTCCGACTCGACACCGATAAGACCCAAGTCCAATTTTGCATTATTTAGTTGTTTCTGAAATGACAAATACACTAGTTTCTTTTTTTTAAACAAACATTCAATTCTTCTTCAACTCTTGCTTGTTCAGCCCCTTGCTTTTCCAAAATTTCTACGAACTTCGAGCTCTTTGCCTAAAGTTTGGGTGAACTTTATGAATGGGTTAAACTAAACCCAAGTCTCCAGAACACTTTTCTCGTATGCGAAATCGCTTGTCCAAGCTGAGTTCGCATTTTGAAGGGCAATGTTTGCCACCGAGCAATGAATCAACTAAAAGAACTGATTGATTGGTTGGCTGATGAGGAGAAAAAATCTCTTTTGCTAAGCAATTAACGTTTGAATAGGCAGATTGTCAAAATCGTTTTCCCTAAAGTTTTCGCTGCCAACCTTTTTGCAAAATCTTGCAATTTCCAACCATACCATTTACGAAATAATAATTCCCTATGGGCAAAATTTCAATCTATTAATTTTTTAACATACAATTTGTATCCATCTTTCAAGTTGTAATCGGCCTACTCACTCGTAAGGGGGGTATTCATTGTTAAACGATGAGATTAACCCTGGCACTCAAGATCCACATGCACCTCATGTATGAAATAATTTTGGCTTTGTTAGCGCAACCTTCATGGCCCCACCAAATCACTCACCTGAAGATTGTCAAAATCGTTTCCCCCAAATCGATCCGCGTTCGCGAAATTAAAGTTTCAATTTTCAAACTAAACCCACAAACCTCGCAAAATGCCCGAAAATCGTGCAAACTCTTTTGCTGGCATTCTTTTTGCTTTATGCATAATAAGTTCCTTCAAAGCCAGTACTCCATCGATAAATTTTTCTTTTCGTCAACTAAGCTTTGTACTTTTACAAAATTATTTAACCTTGTTCGGCAATAACGGCAATAAAAACAAAAATTTCTAGATCTTCATGGCTGAAATCGGGAAGAAACTTGAAAGCGGAGAGCCGGTACTTGGTGTTTTCCAATTTGAATCGAATATCGCTGTTTGATCTCAAAATTTTTATGCATCTTGTTGAATTGTACATAAGTTTGTCCTAGATGCAATAAAGTTTTCACTTGATTTTTTGTTTTCCAGTAAAGCACTCTCATTCAATTCTCACCGTTCTTTAAGAAGCTCTGCAACTCGATTTCTCAGTCAATACCAATTGACCAACAAAGACTAAAGTTTTACTGCTTTACGGCCATACGTTTCGGAACTTGTTCGTGAAAAGATACGCTCAATGGGCTGGGAGCTGCGGGCATACCCAGCATATGGTCCCGATATGATTACTATCTTTTTGAGCAACAGTTTGGTAGCACAACCCAATAAAATTTCAATAAAAAGTAATTGGGTTAATCGGGCAAGAATTCACAAAGATGCTGACCAAATACCGAGCTGACATAAGTTTGGAGCACCCTGTCCCGATCTGAATAGCATGAACCGGAATAGCATGCAGTGCAAGCGATTTGTAAGAAGTCAATGAATAAATATTTTTCATATGCTACATTGTAATAATGCACTGCGTGATGAAATGAAAATCAAAGTTTCTCTTACTATGCTGTACTTCACTTTGCCAAACTGTGGATGTTCGAATCTTATTTTTGAAGTTTTATGTTGTTCATGTGCAAGAAAAGAATAGAAATTTCGATAGAAAATTCAATCAATATGGGAATTGTTCAAAAAAATGTAAACATCCCAAAAGAAACCAGGCAAAAACACACGATCGCCTCCAATAAACAGACCTGACGTAAACGAATAAGATCCAGGAGGAGTGAGGCAAAAATTGAATTATTTATCGTGTGATTTCTGCACATTTGAATCAATGATGAACGAATTTTCGACGGAAATTCAAAAGAGATTTGATTTTGTGTGAGTTTTAGAGAGATTACCGTACTAGTAGCGCATTTTTAATGGAAGCTTTTGTTTAAGATATTCAACTAAGCGGTTTAATGAATTTCCGGTACTTGTCCGTTCTGTCCGTGATTGTATCCATCACCAATGGATTTATGGAGTATATGAAGTTTGGTTTAAGTTCCATTAATAAAGAGCATCCCCGGTGTATCCGATCTCGGTCTGCACCATGAATTCTGCAAGATAACTTGAGAGGAAATGTCGAGCTCTTCCGCGCTCCACCTTGTTCCTTTTCCGCCATTTAGCACTGCCCCAAATCCATTCCACCGTTTGAGAACCTCTTCGAGAATAAACTTTCATCAATCTCAACGAAGCGGCCGGGACCTCTGATCTTCTTGATTGGCTTGTCGATGAGAAAATCTCTCTGCAAATTTTAAAATTGGCAGTTGTCTTGTGGTTGATTCCAAGGGGCTCTTCACAAAATTTGGGGCTTGTTAGCTTCTTCGTCCAATAATAGATGAAGTGGTTGATTGTCACACAAGGCAGATGGGCTCCTTGAAACCACGTTGCATTTTGAACTTCTACTTGATGGACTGCTTAAAGCTGATGAAGTCCGGGAAGTTTCGTTCAGACCAGTCTTGGACAATTCGTGCTTTGTGGGCAGGCGCCGCATCTTGCTGAAAGCACCAAGTTGCGATCAAAATTTTCATAATAAACAAAAGTAGCAAAGATAGTCAACCGAAAAGCGCGTAACAGTAAAGCGGGGGAAACGGAGGTTGATTCGGGTAATTTTGGGGCATCCTGTAAGATGCACGCAATTCGTGACCGTTCTTGCAGAGACGTCGGGTTTCCAAAAGTTTACACTGCTCGAAAACGCGAATCGTATCCAATTCGGTTGAGGGGAGAAGATAGAAGATGTGAAAAATGATTTTGTCTTTAGGCTTTTGTCCACCTTTGTCTTTTGTCATTGTCTGGAAACTCGTATGCAAATTTTTAGCGGGAGATAGAAGCGATATGTAATGCATTCTTATCCAACGGGGCGTAGACTGGATAAGTACTGAATTTCCCTTAGTTTTAGCTTTTCCCTTTTGGGGCATCTTACAGGATGCCCCAAAATTACCCGAATCAACCCGACAGCTAAAATACTCAGCATTCATTCTATAATACTTTTTTTCAGCTACAACGATCCGGAACAGATTTGGAAAAAGCGGCTGATCGCTCTGGGAATCATTGTATTCGTTGGAATCATCTTGTACAAAACGTGAGCACCAAAATGACATAATATTGTTATGGATGCGCGTTTTTACTATTTTGTAAATTTCTCAAGATATCGAACAGATGTTTATGAGTGTTATATACCATTCGAAAGCTGAACATCTCCTCTACATTTTGGAATAAAAACGTTTTTGAATTCATTCAACTTTTTGGGAAATTGACTGCACAAAGGGAGAAGTCGTTTTCGAAAAAAAACCCATTCCAGTTAAGCTATTCCTCAAGTAAATTTCTCAAGATATCGAACAGATGTTTATGAGTGTTATATATCATTCGAAAGCTGAACATCTCCTCTACATTTTGGAATAAAAACGTTTTTGAATTCATTCAACTTTTTGGGAAATTGACTGCACAAAGGGAGAGGTCGTTTTCGAAAAAACCCGTTTCAGCTTAGCTATTCCTCAAGTTTTATGGTGTAAAATAACCGCCCAGAAAAGAAAAGAGAAGTAAAGATGCTCTGAAATTGTTATATTTAAAAAGAAGTTGTATTGATATATGTATTGGCCAAACATCAAACGGTTAACTCGTTTTGAGCGGAGCTAAAAGTTGATCCAAAGGCACCCTTCCATTTTTTGGCCACCTCTTCTTCTGTGCAGTCAATTTGCCCAAAAGCTGGTCAAATTCAAAAACATTTTTATATCAAAATGTAGAGGAGATCTTCAGCTTTCAAATAATACTCATATATATCTTTTTCTTGATTTCGGTATCTTGAGAAATTTACAAAATAGTAAAAAAACGCGCATTCATAACTGGTCGACAACCCAATAAAAGCTCGAACTTTCAGAATTCACAACCCATTTCACTACTCTCTTAATAAAGTTCTTTAGATTTCAAACGGAATCCGAAGTCGAAGCTGTAGCCAACAAAGTTGATCGGAGAGAGTTCGCCAGGTTAACTTTATTTAAATCAAAATAATGTATAGAGTCGATTTCAGTTCATGTGAACAAACATGGAGGCGCTTTGGGGAGTATTGCTACCATGTATGTACCTAGAAACTGAATCTTAAGATCAAAAAAAATAATCTTAGCGAACAGATTCATAAACTTACAAATGTTCAGATCAACAATGCTTGGACGCGTTATGATAGAGCGGTGGCATATTGTGATAAATTTGATAGTGAATTGGCATCGATTCACGGACCAGATGAGAATCAATTTCTTCTGGGTTCAGATTAAATTTATACTTATAATTTGTTGATTTAGAACTTCTTCGCCGTAAAGGGACAGACGGAGGCGGATGGATTGGGTTTAAGGTAATGAGGAAGAAACTTTAAATTAAAACCATAGAGAGACTCTGATTAGAGTACAGTCGATCATCGATATAACGGGCACCCGATATAATGAACTTTCCCGACATCATCAAACAAATGCCGATTCCTAGAACTTCTAGGAATCGGCATTTGTTTGGTGATGCCGGGAAGTTCATTATCGAGATTCGACTGAAGAGTGGCGCAAAATGACCCGAACCGAATAAAATTGAGGAAGCAGAAGCCTCTTCTTTTCAAATTAATAATTAAAAAATAACAATTTATTCTATAAGTGATAATTAACAAAACAAATTACTTTCTTTCAACCTTTTGTTACCTTTTGCGGTCTTTTGCGGCCGCCACTAAGACGTGCTAAGATGTTTTGGGAATGCGTCGACTGTGGCGGAAAGGTAAGCGACGTTAAGCTCGTCCCAAACTTTCTGAAGAGATTTCTTGAGTGAATCAAAAAAAGTATGGCGCTTTTTTCATGCTTTCGCTTCAAGGATGCTCCAAATCGAATTTGGTCACAAAGCTTTGAAACGACTAATAGTCTCAGAAAAAAAAACCGATTTGTCAACAAAGAGTCGACGAGAAATTTCTTTTTGTGGAATTCCCTTTCGGTGTAGGTGTGATGATCGAGTCTCTGTGCACAGACTTTTTCAAAATTCTTGTTTCTAAGACATTATAATTCCAGGGAAACGCTAGGAAAACGTAAAAATAAAGGAAAAACACAAAAACTCGGAATAAAGTTGCGAAAAAAACTGTTGCTGAAGTTTGGGTGCGCTAGTTCGGGTGATTTTGCGTCACCCTGTACTGATGCTTAAGGTTGTCCGATAACTGGCAATTATTTCCAAAAGTTATGAACGATTTAACTTGGTAGAGAATCATTCTATTTAGTAGGAGATATAAAAATATTAAAGGGTCGCCAAATAAACCCAAATTTTTAGCTGAACGAGAGCAAGTGGATCTGGGCGGACAAGACGCCATCGGACTACACAAATTGGCACAAAGGGGAACCGAATCTACTTGACACTGAACATTGGGCTGAGGTGGAGTTCATAAATTCGACTCTTTCCGATTATCCGGTTCCTGAAAAAGATCCGCTCCCTGTAGAAAGTGCACCTATTTTGGAGCTTTGTATTTTGGAGCTCTGTATCTCAAGTTCCATAAAAGATGGCAGAGACTTTTTGAGCTCATTTCAAAGGGCTAATCTAGAGCTATAAGCTATAGTAAAAAGTAGAATGAGATCTATCTTGAGACTCGAAGGTAAAAAGCTTCAAATAGGCGCACTTTTTTAAGGACCGAACTTTTTTTAGAGACCGGGGAATTGACTAAACAAATGCTAAACATCAAAAACATGAAAAACAAATAATGACTTGATAACACAGTTATTATGTATATGTTTCAATCATGCGATCAACATTATAGTCTATATTGGCTTTAGATGAGAGCCAATGATGGAACGTGGAACAATAAAGCTGATACGTACCCGGTGCACGCCATTTGCAAGAAACCAGTCGATTAGCAACAATGATAAATATTAATTACAAATTCTTCTTTTGAAATTTTGCACTACGGGAAGTTATTTTTGGAAAAACTGGATTCTCTCGTTGGTTGTTTCAGAAAATCTCTTATCTCTTATCTCTTAAAACGCTTTAGGATATCTCTCAAAACTGTGTTTCACTTTATCTTTTGGTCAAAATTGATAAAAATCCACGAAAAGCTCAATTGAACAGAAGAAATGCCAAGATTTTTGATAATTCTTTTCACGTTTTTGATAATCATGAATCAAATTCTTGATTTTGCGTCCACTCGAAACAGTTGTATCTTTTCAAAAACGCCGTATTTACCCCTGCCTTCACTAGTTATTGTATTGCGCTCGCCGTTCATGTTCGTCAGGGTTCGCTTTAACTTATTGGACTCATCATTCTATTTGGAAATTTAGATTTTTGTTTGTTGGTGCATACTTTTTTCATTTCTTGACCTGTTGGCGAACGGGAAACAGTTACTGTGAAATTCGAAATCAGTGGCCTCGAAAATCCAAAAGGTTTTGCGAAAATTTTCACTTAGCTCAAGTCGCCAATATTTTCCATCAGAAATTCGGTTCATTAAATTTTGTTGATTCCAGTCATTGCCCATATCTTTTTTGCTTTTCCCGCTACTCTCAAATTACATTTATCCTTTTTTAGATCGAAAGATGCCTTACGTGTAAATCACCGCCCATCAAAATGGTATCGTCACGTGTAGCCGCAAAGGAAACATCACACCAACGAACGATTACACGACCTGGGGATTCCAATGGCACATTTGTTTCTTCACTTCATGAAAGATGCGGCGGTTATCCCCCCGATTCGGAGTCAGTTTTTAAATAGGAGTAAGTAAGTAACAAAATGAAATTATTAGGTGTTCAGATGTCAAAGAATTCCTCTCAATTCTCGACACCCGATGTATAGAAATTGTTTCTCGTTTTTCTGTTTCTGTGGTTCGAAGTTGTGATCACTGTGAAGCTTCGTGTGATCTGTAAGTAACTCGTATTTCATCAATAAAACATCATATAGAAAAGTTTTTGGAACAGTCCAGGAATGAACAGTAGTTAGGGGTTTCATTCTAGTCTTCCAAAAATTTCGTTTCATTTTTAATTCAGATCTCATCGCAAATTAGATTCTTTGTCACTAAAACAACGAATTTAATTTGGGGAATGCCGAGAAAAAAACTGAATCATTTCTGAACTCTCTCCATTTTCAATTAGAGGTACAGAATCATAAAAATTTGGTGAAAAGTCAAAAAAAAAATTGTTTTTTTGTTGGTCGATTGAGACTTGAGACAAATGTTTTTTTTGATTGTTGATTTATTTGTTGGAAGAACATGACTTACAAACTTTTTTTTTTCATTTTCTAGGAATGCACATTTTTTAAAGCTCACTTTTTTACAATGTTGAAGTTGAATTCTGAAATAAAAAGTATTCCAGTATTCCATATTGTAAGATCTACTAAGTTTTATCGTAGTCAGACAAAAGACTGATATTTTTCCGTATTCAAAAAAGTTGAAAGCAAAAATTGAAAGCATTCCTCAAAATTTTTGAGCAATTCACTCCATCTATGAGTAAATCATTAAAAATTAAAATTGTTAATTGCAAAAAATCTAAAAAACTGCTCAAAATCTTTTTCCAGCTGGTTGTTTACGCATTCTACTTTAATTTTTTATTTTTCTTTATTCTTTACTCACGAATCTAATTCGTATGCCGAAAGAGAAAAATTAGAGAGAAATCGTTACTTTTTTTATTGGAAATTTTTGGCCTCTCTCAATTCGTCTTCAATTAAAAGAAGTATCGGTTTTTCAACCTTTTTATTTCGAATTTTCGAAAAATCAACTTGCAAAGTCAAGATTTCGAGAGAGATTCAAGAAGTTTTCGCTTTCTGCCGAGAAATGGAGGTAAAGCTTTTCATTTTGATTCGTTTAACCAATAAAGTTGATTTCTTTGTGCTGATACTCATTCAATTTTCCAGAAAATTCGCGAAATTTTCAATTATCCTGACTCGTATTACAATTGCTCTGGCAAATCGGTGGACGAATGGATGGAAACTGGGGAGAAATGGCCGATTCTGGGCAAATTGCTCATGTCGTTGGGTGTGATTTATCTGGTGAGTGGGGAAGATTTGAAATTGCAAAAATTCAATCAAACAAGTTTGCCCGTCGTTTTTATTTTGCTCAACTTTCACTTTCATGTGCAGAGAAGCTTTTCCAACTAGATTCTAGGGTTTCTAAGCCAAATCTGATCAGAGCCCGGCTAAAATTCAAGTTCTTGCCTGGCTTCCGGTGGGTCCAGAGACTCTTGCAAGCCAGATTTGCAGGAAAGCTAGATCATACTAAAACCAGAAACCAGTATCCAAGCCATGACCTGACTTTTGGTTTAACCCTGACTTTGCCTACTGACCTAGCCCTGAAAATTCGTTTTTAGAACAAATCCACACAATTTAGAATTGTTTTTTACAATACTAACTCAAAATTTCAAAATCAAAATCAAATCTCAAATTACTTTTAGATGCTGTACATTCCCAGTAATTTATGCAATTCTCCGACTGCGATTAACGAAAAACCCCTGTTATCAGGTAAAAACTTACAAATTTTCCACAATGCCTTAATTTTCAGATCATGTTAACAATAGTTTTCGCCGACATGCTTAATCTTTTGGCGAATTCCCTATTTGCCGGATATTTGATGTTGATTGGAGCCGTTTTTTGCATGGATCCATTGTTTATGTACATCGAGGGAGCCTTTAATATGTGTGAGTTACGAAATTTTAGAAATTTCTTGAAAATTCAAAGACTTTGGCATAAACAAACCACGTCGCTTGTTATTTTCAATCAGAAAATCCTTGGGGAATTGCTCCTGGTTGTCAGAGGTATAATTGGTGAAAATTTGAAAAGTTCGAATGGCCAAAAATGATCTTTGAATTGGGAAATAGCTAAGATAAGCGAGTTCTAAAATTAGCAAAACGAGCCGTTTTCAGGTGCTTGGGCATTCGCCTCATTTCTCTATGTTGTACTGGCTCTGAATCGTTTTATTGTCATCGCTGGCTCGGATACGATTGCGCAAAACGTTGTGGTACCGTTTTAGAATTACAGGCTGTCCCATATATAGGCTTGCGTTTAATGCATCTTTTTGGCTTTCTAAGACAATACATTAACCTAAGTTGAAAAACAACAATTGATCATAAAATCTACGTGTAATTTTACATAGAATGGATGAACCATAACATTTTTAATGACTTTCACAACCCTAGCCAAGCAGTACAAAAAATGCTATGCTGAAAAACAGTTAACTTCGAGTTTAGGGTTTCAAAAAAATCGTCTCTTTCCGTCTTTTCCTGCAAATAATACGCTTTTATAGTTAATTATTAGAAAAATAAGTGCTTTTTGAGCACCATTATTGCAAACGCGAGGTTGTGTTGGCTAACAAAAATGGGCACATTTTTGACAAGTTATCATGTGATTTCAGAGAATCCCGATTCATTTCTGGCTTTTCTTAGCTGTGACATGGAGTGTCTATACGGGAATTCTCCACAAACCACTCACCTACAATTCACGAGCCTTTCTTGCCTATTACAATCCATTCATTGAAGAACATGTTATAGTCAGTGATTTGGGAATAATAACTGAATTTTTGTCAATATTTGTAAATACAACGAGTTATTTAAACGCCAGCTCAAGTGGTTTAGGAGTTGGAGAAATACGAGAATCGAATGCACGCTTTGAATAATGTCATCTTTTCAATCCTCATTTGTTTCTTTTACTCGATGATCTCACTGATTTTGTTGTGCGGAAAACGGCCAAAGAAGTTTTCGGCAAGAGAAAGAAATGTAGGGAATTTTAAGGGTTGATTCCTCAAAAAGTTTATGTACAAAAGTTCTGAGAGCTTCGAAACAAAGGCAATCCAATTTCAGGCTTTAATCCAGGCTTTCTTCATCACTTGTCCAGCGATGCTCGGCTCAATTCTTTATGTTTACATTCAATTCACTAATAAAGCCACTCAAGGATGGGCGATTCTTGGGCAATTCATGTGGCAGACGATTACAGGTTTGTAGAAAAATAAGCTTTAAAAAATTGTCACAATACGCATTTCCTTAATTTTCTTTTTTTCAGGAACTGGTGCAATCATTTATCTCACGTTGAACTCAAGTGTCCGTGATTTTCTCTTTTACTCTGCAACTCCTTCACAAGCTGCGGGAAATGACAGTCGAACCAAGCAAAATAGTGGAATGAGTAAATCAAAAGAAGAGATACAAAATAGTGGGATGATTGTTTTTAATTGAAAGAAAAAATAAAGAATTTTTCCTTATGAAAATTTTGCCTTTCATCTGTGAACAGTCTTTAAATGCTAGTTAAAAGCATTGAATGTAAAAACCTAGGGAAAGGCCAAAAGTTTTTTAAGGGGTGCTAGCAAAAGGGCCAAATGATTGGCGCCAAAAATTTTTGCGCCGCGTATCATTTGCGCCAAATTTGCGCTTTTCATTATTGAAAACAATAATTGAATAATTATTGAAAACAATAAGTGAAAATGAAAACATTCTAATTGAAAACATCTAATTCTAATTGAAAACCGCCTGGCTCAAAAGGTGTTTTGTAGAGAAAAGATAGGGCTTTCTTATCTTTGAAGCCCCTGGGGTTTCCTATTAAATTAGATTGAAAAGCGCCTCTTAAAAGAATACTGACATTTCATGTGCATTGACCCTATACAGTGGTCCACAAAAGTATTGTCCCATTGCCATCCAAGTTTCTTTCGTACGAAAATCTTGCAAAAAACGATATTCCCAAAAAGTGTAGGGTTTTTTGCTTACCCATAATACTCTACTTCTCAAGATTATAAGATTTATCCGTATACATTGCATAAAAATTAAAGCATAAAACAAAAACAATAAGTTACTTAACAAATAGCTCCACAAAAGTAATGCCCCATTTGCAAAGAATTAACAATTTTTCAAAAAATCAATATTTGGTTGGTCCTCCTTTTGCTTTTATCGCTTCATTGAGTCGATCCGGCATGGAATCCACGAGATTTTTCAAACGACTTGGGCGGTTGGTGGCCCAAAGACGTTGAATGTGGACCCATAAGACGGCCTTCGAATCGAATTTCTTTCCCTTGAGGCACGACTTCACAAATGACCACAAATGTTCAATTGGGTTGATATCCGGTGAGTAGGGAGGTGGATTGATCAATTTAACACGATCCGGGCAGACGAGCCCTGGTACCATTTTGAAGTGTCACCAGCCGTCCCATCATCAGTCTCGACTTGTGTTTCGGGTCGTTGTCCTGGTAAAGCATCCATCCGGGAGGCATCGTTTGATTGGCAAAGGGAAGCATTTGCGTCTCCATAATATTCTTGTAAGCCACAGCATCCATCGTCCAAGTTCGAGACATCGCTCCTAAAGAAAAAAATTTAGGTAACAAAATACTAAAAAGGTTCTTACCCCAACACATTATGTTTCCGCCGTAGAATTTCACGGTAGGCCGAATGTACTTGAGTGCGTATCGCTTTCCAGTCGTTCGCCGAATAAGATGGTTTCCAACCGCGTGAAATAAACTGATTTTTGTCTCATCGGTAATCGCCCAATCATGTGTCGTGCAAAATCCAGACGCTGCTTCCGGTGCTTAGAATTCATCAGAGGTTTACGGGCAGCCCATCTTGCATATAATCCAGCCTGAATTAATCGTCGTCTGATTGTTTCCGGCGAAACAACCTTGCTAAATTGATCACTCATCATTTGGCTTCCATCGGTTGCTGTTTTGCTCGGATCGTTTTTCACCATTCTGGTCAGGGCTTGATCTTCTTTTGTGGTTGTGATTGGTCGTCGGCCACTCTTGAGGCCTCGATGAAGGTTTCGGTCGACTTTTGATTGAGAAAAAATGCGGCGCACCGTCCTTATAGAGCAATTGAAGAGGTTGGCCACATCCTTTTCCCGCATCCCATTTTCCCGGGCCTTCTTCGGAGTGTTAAGGTTTTTCTTGCCATCTAAATAATAAAATAAAATACATTTAATGTTCATAGAACGCGAAAATAAAAAGAATAATCAAGGAAAACATCAATGGGACATTACTTTTCTGGAGCTAATTTTAGGGGTAAGTGCACTCTTCCACATCTAACTTTTGATTGGAAGGATTTCAATCAAAAAAACCCAGATATTCTAAAACCAGAAAACTTTTAAAGGTATTTTAAAAGGAAAAAAATATCTTGTAACATATGTTTTTGGCAGAAATTTTGCGAAATAACTTTGAAAAGCAATGGGACAATACTCTTGTGGACCACTGTATATAGAGTTTACATTTAAGTATTGGATATTATGGATATTCTAGGGGATTGTTTTAGTTCTTATTGAATGAGTTATTCAGCATAAACTTTACCTGCATGAAAGATACCTGGACTTCCGTCACAAAGAGCGATCAAGCGAGACCAGTACTAGGTCCGCTAAAAAGAAAACCATCATTCAGATTAGAAATCTTTACGATATACCAATATTTCCGAATTTTTTTGAATAGGTAGCAAGTCAAAAATTCCATGAGTCGAATGTTTTTCAAACTTTTAATCAAACTTGCCTAAGTCAATCAAATAAAATTCGATCCTTATTTAGAATCTTTTCTGTTTGCTTTATCTCTAGCATATCTTAAACTAACTAAAATTAATCAGAAATTTAAAAAAAGGTTTTATTGATCAAATACGATTCACTTACCGATCACACAAAATCAACAAAGTTCGTTGGCAAAAAGAAACTTCAAAAGCAGTTTTTTAGATGAAAGACATCGGTGGACACTAACTGTTTGGTCAAACTTTTGTCAAACTCTTGTCAATCTCTTGCAACCTCATGGCCTTTGAGCGGACCGTATACTTGAACAAATTCGCAGCTTGGATTTATCCAATTTTATTCCATTACACACACAAATCTGACGAAATCAATAAATTGAGCAATATTTTTAATCTCATTTACATGAATCAATCAATCATTTCCCTTAATCAAACGGGAGCACATCTTTATCGGCGACTCTCTTATTCGAATTGGCCGTGTAACTCTCGCCGTTTTCCTTCACAATCACATCCTCGCCACTCTTCGGGTCTCGTCCCCACTGAAATAAGAAAATTTTAGAATGTTTATGAAAATGGATTTGGATACATTTAGATTCAGTATCAAATTGATTACATGATTTGCAAAAACGGGGGTCTAACGCCATAAAGCATGGCTTGTATGAGCCTTTTGGACCGCAGGAACAGAGCCGACAAGCTTTAATGGGTACAACTCATAAACCTTAGCAAACCTGCCTATTAACTGATTCATTTATCTAGTTTTTCTTAAAATTATCAATCTACAGTGAATTATATCGTTACCTTCTAGTATACCTAGACAAAAGGGTTGAGTAACAAGACTTACACTTCACATTCAAAGTGTCAGGGATTTTAGGTTGCTGTAATACAAGTAAAAAAAAAGAAATTTCATGATCCAAGATCTAGTAATAAGACAAAGCTGAAATTTATAGAAGAGTTAATATATTTTCATAGCTCATATAGCTTTTCTGATTCAAACGAGTTCACCAACCGCTTGATAAGGACTTTGATCATCGGGTGTGGGTCGACTCGGACGCTCCAATTCTTCGATATCCTGAAATTTTATGGATAAAATAAAAAAATGTTTAGAATATCTACTATTAGAAAAGTTTAAATGGCATAAATATTGCGAAATCTTAAAGAAAATCTATTCTTGAACTCACCTGTCCTTGGAATTCTCTCGCTCTCTCCATCAAATCCTCCGTATCAACAATGTCCTCCATTTTGAAATTTAAATTTCAGGAAATATTCAAAAACTTTGGCTTTGGGCTTTAGGTTTCCAAAAACCCGGCTGGGTATTTAAAGCTTTCGAAAAGCTGTCCTTTTTTCCTTTTTTCCTTTCTTTCATTTTTTGTTGTTTACGTTTTTGAGGGGATTTGTCCCCGGATTGCCCTTTCCCTTTCTTCCTTTTACCCCTTTAGACTTCCCTTTCGTAAATAAGGACCAAAATATTTTCCGAGAGATTTCACTAGAAGTGTTAAGTGGCAAAAATATCAGCTGACTAAAAAATATTAGAGAAAAGTTTTTACGTAGATTTCACAATGTTAAAGAGCTCATAATATGCATTTCTTTTGTTCTTTGCTACGTTTATGCAGTTACAAGGCTACAATGAATAAAGGATCATGGCAAAATCGATGAAAACAACCAAAGTGAGTGGGAAAAATTGGCAAAGTGATTTGATAAGAAAACAAGATAAGAAGAAATTACAGAATTTATGGGCTCTTTGAAAGAAAAATGCAGAATTCTCTAAAAGTGATTCCATTGCAACCATTGTGCTGTTACCCCAAAAAATGCAAGTTTTTGAAGATAACATTTGTACTAATTTGATTTCAGGCTCTTCGCAAACGTTCGAGAAAAACTATCAAGACTATCAAAACAAAATGAAGAATAAAATCGAATCTTTTTGGGTAAGAAACTTTCCATAGTAAATAAATTGTTGAAAAGTGATGCCTTCTGCCATATCAAACTCTGTCTATCGTCTTTACAAAAGAAAAAAAGCTAGAGAATTCTTTATTCGTTAACAAGGTTTAACAAACAAGCATAATTTCTAACAAAATAAAAACAAGCTAGTGTGACGTGAGCTCTTGATTGATAAAGTAGCCAGAATCAATCAATCGGCGGCTTCATATGAGTCAGTCAGTCAATCCCAAGAAAGATCTCAAAAATTAACAAAAAAATCAGAGACCCTGATAAGCAATCATTTTTAAAAAAAATCTTTCCCTTTCCAATAACTGCTTGATGTTTCCTGTTCACCCTGAAATCTTCTCCTCCAATTAGTCACCTTTCTTAGATATGAGATTTCAGTAAAAAACCAAAAATATTAGTGAAAAAATTTCAGTTCTTGATAAAAACTGTCTCCAAATTCACCTAAAGACGAGAGTTGAACATTCATTTAATTTATTTCTTCTTAATCTTTAAAAAAGCTTTTTATTGAAATGAAGAAGAAACAGTCGGTTGAAAGTTTTTGGTGGATAGTCGAAAGCAATTTTTTCACTGCCTTTCTTCTTGCATTTCCCTTTTTCTTTCAAAATGTCGACGGGAGTTTGACGGTGACACCAGTGGACGAATTTATTCAATCCGCTCAATATTCAATAAGGCCGTAAGTAACTAGCGACAATTATTCAAGAGAAATCGCTCCTTTATTGGATTGAGGCATTTAGATTTCCTATGGTGAAAGCCTCGACTGGACAGAACTTGAGTCTTCGATGCTCGAGTACAACTCCACTTGAACTTCGGTAACTAAGTTTAAATGTGCAAAAAGATTTTTGATTCAGCCCAAAGAACAACTTGATTCTAAATTTAAAACTGACTCTTTTAACCCAGGAATAGTTTATCGTAAAGATAAGCCATAAACTGAAGGTTATAGGCCACTTATCTTAAGCTGTTCATCAAAAATCTTCATTTTCTCTATTTGGCTCTTGTGTAATTTTCGAGACTTTTGAATGTTTTACTTAATTTGCTGTGAATTTATGGTTAACAAAGGCAATTTATTTTGACTGACAGCTACAGTGTTGGCATATCTCGACTATACTTCTGATTCTCTCTTTAATGCCTTTGTCAAAACAGGTAAAATAAGCGTACAGATAAAAGCGTTGAGCCGTTTAGGCCTGACATTTATTGGTGTCAATCCATAGCGTCAAAAAATGCATTTTCTAGGATTTCTAGGCATTTTCATTTTTTATTTGATTTTATTTTCTATTCGTGTTGGTCGTGTATTAAGGCTAACCATTCTACCACAAGAAATTAAGCCTCAACCTGCAATCGATCTTATCAATTTATTAATCTTATCAAATTCGACTAAAATGACCGAAACTACCGTAGACACAATTTTTGAAGGAATGCGTGAATCAGCGGAAGAAAACGACGGTGTGATTCAATTTTCTGCTCGTTATTCTTTCATTGCCAACGAGCGCAATTGCAGTGATGGAATTCAAGGGATGACTCATATTAAGGATTTGAGTAAAGCAGATAGCGCCACTTGGAGGAACCCTAAGTGTCCTAGTATTTTTATAAACTCAAAAACCTCAAACATACAAGCTTAAAGAAAAAGGTGAGAATCACCAACAGTCCCGAAAATTACCCAAGAGCCAATTATTTTTTGTTTATTTTTAGATGGTCAACGCCAATCGAAACGAACATCGACTTGATAGGTTTTAATGAAGAGGATTTCCAAAAGAGAGTCAACATCGAAGAAGAAGATGATCAGGTGAAAGAATGCTTTGTTTTAAAACCCTTGTACGAAATTTTAGAGTCAAATCTTTCACATTCGATCTCTGAAACAGAGTGACGCCGGAATGTATTCGTGTTTTGACAACAAAAACCGAATGGGTCAAGTCTATGTTTTTGTGGAAGGTGGCTCCGTTTTTTTGTCTTTATTTTCACTGGTTAGACCCTAAGCAAAAAGCATAAATTTTTGCAACTTTTTTTTATCAAATTTCTTAAGGTTTGTACGATTTCTTGAAACATAAAGCCTACACACTTGACATCACTTCAACAAAGTTTCTTCTTCCGTGTCGATACGCACAGTCACCGATCATCAATGGTCATCGATGGTCTCGGCCCTCGTTGTACGCGGATGGCGAGTCATGGTTGAAAGATATCGACGATCAAGATTGGATGACTTTTGATTGGATGACTTTTGACCCACGGTAAAATAATACTAACGACGTAGTACGCGACGGTCCGCTCTATTTACAGAAATCTGAAATAGCCATCGGATAGAAGAGAGGGGGCATCTTTTCTATACAACTTCAAGTCTTGAAGTTCAAATAAAAACGAAATATTGTAAATTTTGCCGATGGTAGTTCTGCAGATGGAGTTCCGCAAATAGCATAGATCCAACACTTTATGTGGACATTGAGACTATCTATAAACCTAAACATTTTATGTGACCTCAACGCAAAGCAGTGAATTTAACTGTTTTCCTTTGCATATTGCATTCAGATATGGCTTTGAAATCGATTTGGAGAAAAGGAGCAAAAAATTGACGTCGAACAGCGTTCGATTTCGCTGTGTGGCGCTCAGGGGTGATGAGGTCGAGTTTCTCGTTCGGGTAGGTACTTCGATTTACATTCTCTAACCAACTGCTCAGTTTGCTTCAATGTCGGTGAATTCTGTGTCGATGACAGTCACACGCCAGGATTTTGTTGCCTTTTTTTCAAGGGGTCAGCTTTGTTTATGAAAACTACAAACATTTGCGGCTAGACCTGGGCCTCGGTTCGAATCGGTCTGAATTCGATCCTGATATCTTCTAATTGATTCGCTTTGATTCGACTCAGTCACTTCGATTCACTAGCGCGTCCGCCCGGAAAGCGGAAGGTCGCGGGTTCGATTCCCGGCACCGACATTGTTTTTGATTTCCAGCCACAGTCCAAAAGAATCCTTCGCGTGCTAACTTTATGTAGCGAATAATTGTTTCTGTTTTTTGAGTGTACAAATTTGTCGTTTGGCACGAATGCGTAAAGTTGTTTTCTGGAAATTATTGACAATTTATAATACTTTCCTGAGAAAGCATTTGATAACAACGTCGTCGTATGAAGCTTCTTGCAGCATGAAGCAGAAGCAGCGTACGAAGAAGAAGAAGAAGGATCAAAAAGCTTAAAACAAAAAACCATATCCATTTTATTTTAATTAAAATGTTTGATTTCCCTCGTCCGGAATTTTCTATCCGAATAAACTCGTGAACCACAAGTAATAGATCCCAAAATGACTGTTGAATGCGAATTGCGATTGGTGAATGCTTTGAATGCTAAAGAAGAAAACCAGCTGCAAATGCAGTGTCCTCGATGTGGACGAGAACATGAAGTAAAAAAGTGTTACAAAAAGTTGTACAAAACTCTTTCAGCCAACGATTCAAAAAAATGTGCAAAAGCAAGGGAACTCGACGATCTTCTCCTTAAATGTGACATTTTCAAATGGTTTTGAACGGAAGGACGAAGGACTCTACACTTGTTCCTGGTGCAAAAATTATTGCCTTCTTCTTGAAATGTGTTTCAGGGCTCAAAATGTGGTCAACAAATGGGATGCGAAGACTCAGCAAACGTCCCCATTTCGAATCTTTTCTCCGTTGCACAGATTTTTCGTAAGTACAGTATTTTTTTCATTTCTTTTTATCAAAACTTAAGTCTCTAAATTCCATTGCTATAAAAAACGTTTTTTGAGGATTCTATACTTCGCTATTTACGGCTTATAGATTGCCCCACACGCCGAAATGTTGACTATCTTTGCAGGAGAACCCATAAGAATAAACGGTGATATTGGACCCAATTTGCTTTTGAAAACAAGTTTTTCAGCAACAATTTTCCCAATAGCAGCCGATTTTGTGGACTATAACTGCACATGGTATTACGTAAGATACGTTGATATTGGAGGGAAACAATTCAAATTGGGCAAAGCAACAAGTGTAAAATGCGGCAAGATGCGCTATAAAGAGGTGAAAGCTGTCGGCAAATATAACTATATTTTTTCTTGTTAGAAGTTCGTGTTGTCCAGTTTTTACACGTCTGTCCCCACTACATAAAGTGCGTCTAAGCTAAAAAAAAATACGACACCACCCTTAAAAGTGCGCTCCGCGAGAACCGTTAAAGATATCAACGATTATCAACAAACGATTTTCAGATTTTGATTTCTGATGCAAAAAACCCCAAACACAAGTTTTTAGCGAATTTTCAGCGAACCCCCAGCAAGAGCTTTTGTTACATTTTTTCTCTAGTTTTCAAAAATG